ATTAATCACTTAGTAATCCTAGCATGCGTCAAAGTTCAAACGATGCCTGGGACGTAGGTTTAATGATATTTTTCTTTTGACATATGCTATACTGAGCATGTACGTGCATAGATAAAGAGATTTTGCTCTCAGTGAAAGTCAGACTCATTACTCATGTTTACTAAGATCATACCCCTAAATTAATAGTAAAACAACTACCAATACTTTACTGCTTGAGTTGGTATAATTTTAATTTAATATACAAATAATACAAATCAATAAAAAATAATAATCTTACAAAATGGAACATACTATAAAATTTCACATAAAACATCATTTGGGGATCCCAAAAAAAGTGTCCTTTAGTATTTAAAACAAACCTTATAGCCAAGATATCCAATATACAATTAACAAAATAAACCTTATGATATTTATATTACTTATTATATTTGAAACCTGAACAAAAACAGAAAATATCCAACCGTATCCAATAAATAGTTAATTTAAAATAGGAAAATAATTATAAATTTTGTATTCAATAATACGTTTCAAAAAAACTATGTATTAAAACTAGTGAAATGGGCTTGAAAGACCAGCCCAAGCCCATATAAAGACCCGAATTAAGAACACTTATTTAAACCCCCGATTTAACGAAGCACATCATATAACAAAGCACCGGGAAAACAAAAAAATCTTCTCTCTCGAGACGAAACCAATGGCGCCTTCTTCCTCAAGCGGCCTCACCTTCAAGCTCCACCCCTTAGTGATCCTTAACATCTCCGATCACTTCACTAGAGTCAAAACTCAGCTCAACCCTCCATCCTCTTCCTGCTCCACCAGAAACATCCCCACCTCCATCCACGCGGCGTCTCCGCAGAACGTTAGGGTTTACGGCTGCGTGATCGGTGCTCAAAGAGGCCGAACGGTTGAGATCTTCAATAGCTTCGAGCTTGTGTTCGATCCAAATACTGATTCTATCGATAGATCGTTTCTTGAGAAGAAGCAAGAGCTCTGTGAGTAGTTATAATAAACTCGCTTGAATTGTCTTTACTTTGTTTATTGATTGTTTTTGTGGTTGTTTTAGATCAGAAGGTGTTCCCTGGATTCTATGTATTGGGATGGTACTCTACGGGAAGCGATGCTGTTGAATATGATATGCTTATCCACAAAGCTGTGAGTGATTCAGAGTCTATTGTTGATTTTGTATGATTAGATTTACTGCTGAGTCCATTGTTGATTTTGTGTGATTGAGTTATTTTTTTAGGTCTCATTGTGTACTGATTGTGTGAATTTTCATCATCTACTGTACTGATTGTGAGAGAGTCTATTGTTGATTTTGTGATTGAGTTATTTTTTAGGTCTCATTGTGTACTGATTCTGATTGTGTGAATTTTCATCATCTACTGTACTGATTGTGAGAGTTCATTGTTGATTTGTGTGATTGAGAGTTTTTGAAACCAATGTCCAAGAAATTGCTAAGTGGTAAATTAGGTGGAGACTGTTTATTAATTATAGACCGATTTTGTGAACGCCTAAAAAATAATCGAGTTGCTAAATACGCGCCGATTAGACCGATTTTTAGAACACTGGTACTAATTGTGTGAGTTTTGATGGAATCTTGTGTAGCTGATGGACATTAATGAATCTCCGGTTTACGTTCTTCTCAATCCGGCTATCAATCACTCACAGAAGGATCTCCCTGTGACTATCTATGAAAGTGGTAAGGTTTACTCTCTACAAAGTACATTGCAGATACGCGTAACTAGTTTGTTCTTGAATGTTTGTAAAGATTATAATGTTTTTAATCCAATCTCTTGTGATGTGCGACTTGTTTTCAAATCTTTAAGAGTTCCATGTCATTGATGGAATCCCGCAGCCAATTTTCGTGAATGCAAGCTACACTATTGAGGTATGTTCTTAAGCCATGTGTATGTATTATCTATAATATGAGAGAGAACCTTTAGTAACGTAGCAATGATTGTAAACATGTGCGTGCAGACAGTGGAAGCCGAAAGAATATCGGTTGATCATGTTGCACACCTTAAGCCATCTGATGGAGGCTCTGCAGCGACCCAATGTAAGCCTTATTGTACCCTAGATCATAATATTCGTACACATTCCTATGAAGTTTATGCTGATTCCTTCGATGTTTTGTAGTGGCTGCTCATCTTACTGGCATACACAGTGCCATCAAGATGCTCAATAGCAGAATCAGAGTGCTTTTTCAATATCTTGTCGCTATGCAGAAAGGTATATTGTATGCTTGCATGCTCGAATATTTGTATTTGTTGTGTTTCCCCACGCTGAAAAAGGAATTGAAAAGGGGGGTTAGATGATGATATTTACAAAAAGTAATGTAGTTATGTGCTTTTGGCTTCAAGGGTCCATGTGGTTCTAATTGCTTGTGTGATTCTGTGTCTAGGTGATATTCCCTGCGACAACTCACTTATGAGGCAAGCAGCTAGTCTGCTCAGAAGTTTGCCTGCTGCACATTCAGAAAAGTTTAATGATAATTTCTTGATGGTAAGTAATGCCTTGCCGTTCTCTAACTATGTCGCTTAAAAGACTGACATTTGATTCTCTTAAACTCTTAATGTCCCTTGTTGTTCTGATTATTCTTTATATATATATGACGTTCTTTAAATTTGCAGGAGTACAACGACAAGTTGCTGATGTCTTACCTAGCAATGATCACAAACTGTACCAGGTATGTGTGCTCAATAAGGCTATTCCAGAAATGTTTTTCAATTGGTTGATACAGTGCAATGTTTTACAACACAGATACAGATGATATCACCAGTACTTGCTTTTGGCTGACAATGAGATTGTTGTATTTATATATGTTTAGAATCTAGGACCTTGCTCAACCATCCTTGTCATGATTGATGTATAATTTCGTTCCATCTATTCATATGCTTTACTATACCTTGACTAAATGTCAACTACAACCAAAAAATGTCATAAGTGAATCCTTCTTCTATTTGATCACTCACTTTTGTTTCAACCTGCAGCAACATGAACGAGGTGGTTGACAAGTTCAGGACTGCATACAAGAAGAACAGTCGAACAGGGCCAACTGGCAGTAGGTTTCCATTCATCTAAGCTTAGTTTCAGCGTAGAACACTTTTCAGAATCAAACAGCTAATGAATGACCTTCTTTTTGCTAAAAGCTTTGTTTAGACAAAGCTAAGTTTAGATTACTAATGTGTTTTATCTCCTAAATATTTTACATTCCCTTAAGAACCATTTATTCAAAAAGTCGGTGAACAAAGAGATTCGTTTCATATTTGTGGTACTCTACTCATTACATCTATCAATGAGCTCCTAGAAAATCCTAGTTCAGGTTGTGACACTGGTTCCACCTTCGGCTCTGCTGCTAACTGCAACATCGCACCAGCTGGATCGCCAATGGCAGGGGCTGCCAGACCGGGAAACCTCTCTTGTCCGATATCTAAACCAGACATTGAAACATCCGAAAGCTCGCCCGTGTAGTAAACCGAGAAGCCTGAAGGAGGCCTCAGGTATGGCTTGAACTCAAACAGTGATGAGTCGGCTGTGACCTGTCCCTCAGAACCACTGTGTGGAACTGGATAGTGCTCATGGTGGTTGTGTGTCTGAGTAGCTAATCCGCCTTGGAAGGTCCCTGAGCTGACGTGGCTGCTGTTGCGTGCTGCTGGTACTTCATGATTGTGCTTGCCTATGTAAGTGGTTAGTACGGACGTAAAGTCATTAGAAGCTCTCTCCACATGCTTAGTTACGGTACATCCATTAGCTGTGCATTTATAGTAACTCCTGAATCATTAACATTAAAAAAAGACTGATATAACATTCTTGTGCAAAAAGCTGCAACAGAGAGGGAAAGAACAGAACCTTGGATTAGGGTTTCCTTTGACGACTTTTTGACCATACTTGCGCCAGCGGTAGCCATCGTCTAGGATGTCAATGTCACTTGTGGTCTTCACCACGACTTTTGGCACACGGGGGCCTCGTGTTGATCCACTTGTTTCCAGTTTCCTGATACATTAATAGCATCACAAGTCATAAGAAACGTCTTTGTATTTCTATGTATTTAATTGGTTACTACTTACTAGAGAAAATTTTAATTTCTTACCTCCTCTTCGGCTCAGATTCATCTACTTGTCTATCTTCTTCATCTTTAAAGAAGACATCACTTCTTGCATCCCCATATCCAACCTCTTCAGAAACAGGTGATGTGCATTGTAAGTTCTCATTGGTTCCAGCAAAACCTTCACGTTCGGTTCCATCTATATGCATGTCATTACTCGCACCGGATGGTCCAGAGCCTAAACGGCGGTTAGTTTGAGGTTTAGGGTGTTTATGAGCTTTCACGTATATGATCTCTGTAATATGACCTTCCTGGGACCGTTCAACCTTCTTCTTAACCTCACAGTTCGGGTGTGTGCACTTGTAATAGCTACGTGGATTCTCGCTTCCTTTAACCAGCTTCTGTCCGTATTTCCTCCAGTTGTATCCATCATCTTCAGGTGCAACACTAGGCATCAAGTCTCCTAAACCGTTATGATGTCCTTGGGAATCATACGGTTCTGAACCGATGTTTGTAGGATCGTGGCTCCTTGTTGAAATGGACTGTAAGGTTAAAGATGTGGCTATGTCGTCAATGAACTCATCTTTGGCTAATGAGAGCTTTCCGGTGGTCGGAGATGTCTACGCTTACAAGTGTTAAGAGATTTCACTTGGACAAGAAAGCAAAAACAGAAGACGATAATGAAATGTTGAAAAGATTTACCAAAGGGTTTGAGAGGAAAACAGGAGACTCTAGTAGAGTTTCTGAAGAGATGGTTAAACTTGGAGATGGGAAGAGACTCTCAGTCTTTAACTTGGGAACTTTAAACCCGGTTCTTGCAGCAATCCTTTCACTAAGACTATTGCGTGTATAGCACGGTTTCTCTTCTAAGCTTGTTTGCAGAAAAGCTTTATTTTTAATGTCTTCTAAAGAGACTTCTCTATCAAGTTCTGCTTTGGATCTCTTCTTGTGGTTAGAACTAGGGTCTAAGCATTCTCCCATCACAGCAAAGTTATCATCAAAACCAGGCATTGTTACAAACCCAAAAAGTTCAGCTTCAACTTTGGGATTAATCTGAAATTTGATTATAATGGAACAAATGAAGTTACATAGACGTACATGCATAACAACAGGACATACTCAAAATCAGAACAAAGAACATAAAATATAGAAAGAACAGTAACTCCTTGTAATAAGCTTCAAGTTAAAAGTGATATTGTGATAAACACAACATGAGAACTCTAAAGAAAATAGACAATAATAGAGATGAAAGAATGGTGACCATTAATTAAGCACCTGGTTAATAAACTGATCATATATTTTTTGCCGTTCAGTATAATGTAAGAGGTTGAGACAATGAGTGTTCTTTGCCTCTTCCTATATCTGTCTATCTCTCTATCTTCATATGAGTAATTCAAACAAAATGAACAAGAGGCAAAGAAGAAACCTTCTGTAAAAACTATCTTTATCTCTTTCTTGATTGTGGTTTGACCCTAAACACAATGAAAGATATATATAGTCCAAAAAAACTTCAAGAGAAAACACAGCTTAGTTAGATAAATTTTCTCCTTAACTTTCTCGAAATCCGAACAAAAATGGTTCAAACTTCAAACTTTTTGACAATCTATTAATTTTATTATATTTAACTATTTTAGAGATATACACTTAAAGAAAACAAAAAAATACACCTAAAACATTTAGTTCACTTAAATGGCCAAACTCTTCTTAGTGCTAGTATGTTACACCACTTGCTTAACACACGTTGACATAATTCAGAACATGACTATATCTAATGTCAAAAGAAAAAAATACAATGTTGACAAGTAAGTTTTTTTTTGCTAAGATATATAGTTTTGTATATTAATGTTAGTCGAATGTATAAAACATCAGTGTGAGTTTCAATTTGAAGATGATTTTAGTACTTTGTTTACATTATTTTTCTATAAATGTATAAAACATGTGTATTTAAAAATATATATAAATAATTAGAGTTATTTAAAATATATCTAAATATTTAGTGTATTTCATAGAGTTTATCGGTATTATATAACTCAAAGTGGAACAAAAGAGAAGATTGTGCTTGTCAAAAATATTGTCAAAAATATTGTCAAAATATAATTAATTGGTCTAGTTACACAAATATAATTAAGGGATATAATATAGTCAAAAAATTCTGACCACTAAAAATCTTTTTTTTTTCTTTTTGAGAAAGCTAATTAGTATTTTGCTGTTAGCTCAGCTGTCTGCATATATATATATATACATACTAGGTAATAATCCGCGCCTTGCGCAGAATGAGATCATTATTTTTGTTACTTTGAAGATAAAAATGATATTATGTATGTTTAGCATAGATATTGGTTCAATTTTACGTTGTTTTTTTAATCTCTTAAAATATAATTATCATTCTAAATCTTGGTTTGTTTGGTTAAAATGTTTGATGTTTTTCGATGATAACTAAAAACTATTTGTTATTTGTTTGGTTTCGTTTTATATACATTTTAGACATTTTTTTATGTCTAACTAATAGTTTCATATTATAATTTCTAAAGACATGTAAAATCAAATAAAATCTAAATAATATTTGAAGAAAGAAAGAAAATAAAATTATTAACTCAAAACATTTCACTACAATTTGAGCGATAGTGAAAGAAAACATAAAACAAAATTCAACTTCAATAACAATTAACACTTGTGGTGAATATTTAGTTATATAGTCATTCATATCAATTTTTACATGTATATATATGTAAAATTATATAAATGTGATCATAAATATATGAATATACCGTTAATTAAGATTTAAAACATTTTTGTTCAAAATAACACATGATAGTAAATTCTTATATAAAATTAAGTAAAAATAAAACAAACCTAGAAATTAATAACTTTTTTCATATGAAGAAAATTAAATTGTACCCGTAAACAATAAAAATAATATATATTACAAAGTAACATCTTCACTTGGTAGCTGAATTATGTTTTTTAATCAATTTTGCGATTTTATCACTTTTTAAAGCTTTACTGATTTCTGATTTTTTCTAGCAATTTGATTTTGTTTCGAATTCTTAGTCTGATATGAAAACTTTATAAAAAATTTAATATTTGACTAAACTAAAGATCCGACTTTACGTGTGGTGTTTTTCACCTCAATTTCTTTAACTTATAATTAATCACCTTATTTGTTGTTATTGTGTAATGAAACCTCAACCATGACAAACTTCGGCAAGGTACGAAACTTTCAATTTCTACAAACATTTTCATCGCAACATTTTAGTTGATGCGAATCTTAATGATTTTTTTTTTTACAATAAAGATATTATTCATTAGTTTCACGTAGAAAATTTTAATTTATTAATACAAATGCTAAAAATGTAGGGAAGATGAATTAATTAAAAAATAGTGTATAAACACATTAAATAATGAATTTAAAAAATTAGTGTGTAAACGTATTAATTGTCAAATTATTGTAAGGCCGACATGTGTCAATTACAGTGTGAATTCATTTATTCCAATGTTTCTCTTTTAATATATAAGGGATATATACTCACTCACTATTCGCTTGTTTGTTACCATTCTACATTTGTCTACAAGATTTTCATTACTATTTCAAATAAATTATAATCTCTTTAAATTAATAATCTATAGATTAATATACATTAAAATTTTATATAAAATAATCTGTGTTTAGAAAATCCGATTAAATTTTTTCACGTTATGATATATGTAAAAAGTTAGGTATATTTTCACCAACATAATCATTTGATTGAATTATAATTGACACAAAAGTTACATATCATACAAAATTGATAGGGAAAGAAGAAAAAAACACAAAGGAAAGAAGAAGAAAGAAGATGAAGAAATGATCAAATGGCTGAGAATGCTCATGGGTAACTAATGTAATATTATATAAGATACAGTATACAAAAAATCATAGCATGTTTGTTATTATGTGTATAAACCTTTTTTTTTTTTCTGCTATATATATCTGTCCTAATTTTCCTAGAAAATTTTACACATTGCATTGTTTCAGTCAACTTTTGTTGTTTTGGACCTTTTGGCCAATAAGTCGTAAAGATCAATAAAAAAAAATGATAAATTATTTTCTGGAAAGAAAATATGAAAATCTCGTTGACTATGTGTTGTGAAAATTTGGTATGGTGTAAATTCAAATTCGTATCCCTTTAGAGATTTACGGAATACCTTAATCATCCGATCACAAATAATGTTAATAATACAAATAATTAGTAATATTATATATGCTGTTCGAAGACTAACTCTGAATCACAAATAAATTATGTTTATGCGATTTGACCACTTAAAAACTACTGTATTCTGATTGAAATGATACTCACTCTCACAATATATTTGTAAACGTATTTCACTAATTAATCTTATACGTGTTTAGAATTCTATTCTTACAAAGTAGCAAAATCAAATAATCCAAAAACATGCCATAAAATAATAGAAAAAGGTATACATTTCTGATAAGGCAAAAAAAAAAATGATTTGACTACAAATTTTACATTCAAGATTTGCTCAAAATCATTTATGTAATCATGTAATGAACTGAATAATCTTCAACGCCATTAAATTAAAACCCGCTATTTTCCTCTGATTGGGTCCAATAAAAAGTAGACACATCTGTGGGTAGTGAGTGGGGTCTTTAGTGTGCAAGAAGAGAGACTATAACACACGCGCGTGATAAGGAGAGAGAGTAGGAGAAGGAGAAGGAGAATATCAGTGCTGCCAGTCTACCATCCCATAAGCTGACGTGGCACCTTCATGCGTTCCCTTCCTTCCTTCCTTCAGATAAGAATCTCTGCGATTAACCCTCCACAATCGGAATCACCTTCGCCCCATCGCTCGTGTTCATCAGAAACCCTAGATCGGAATCATTTGTATCAATTTGGGGGAAAAATTGGAGGAAACAAACATTCTAGGGTTTCTTAATTGATGAAGTGACATGACACCATTCAGATAAAGGGATCAGATTTGGTGTGTTAGAGATTGAGAGAGATAGAAAGGTTAGATCTTTGCCGAATCTGGAGCTCCAAGATCCATCCTTTTTGCTTGATTTTTCTCTCTTAAGTTTGTTTGCTTTGACTGAAGAATAAAAAGTTTTAAACTTGAGGGTATAAATTAGGGTTTTGTGATTGGTTTTTGTTGAAATTAGGGTTTTTTGTTTTGTTTTGCTTTGTTTGTAAAAGATGCATGGTAGACAAAGGAACAACGTTGGGAATGGGTACAGATCTGGTTTTGGTATGTCTGGTTCCAGAGTTTCACCTGACCGTCCTATGAGAGGACATGGCTTCTTTGGTGGTTCTGACCAGCACCAACACCGTGGGTTTAACCGTGGGTATGGACGAGGTAGAGGACGCTCTAAATCATACCAGAATCACTTACCTCCTCCTCCTCTTCCTCCTCCTGCTGCGCCACGTAGAAGCATTGGTGGTGGTGGTGGTGGTGGTGGAGATGTTTTCATGGACGCAGGTCGTTTAGCAGCGGAGTACTTGGTTTCTCAAGGTGTTCTGCCGCAAACTGTGCTTTCTAGTAAATGGCAGAATGGTAGTTTCAGGAAGCAGGGTGTGGAGTTTCAGAGTTCTAGGTCTGAAGCAGCAGCAGTTCGAGGAGACCATGTTTTGGCTCCAGCTGTAGTAGATAGGAGGTATGTTGATGGGTATAACTCAGCTGGCTCCTCCAGGAACAGTTTGCAAGGGAGGAGGTCTAACCGTTATGACTCTGATTTTGGGGGGAGGAGTGGTGGGTCTTGGTCAGAGAGGAGTAAAGGTTATGAGGCTGAGATTGGTGATGACTCTGTGTCTGGGCATAGAGAAGAGCAGCCACTTGTTGAAGATATTACTAGCTCGGTTCAGAGGTCAGCTTCTGGTGAGTTTATGAGGAAGCGTGAAGGAGCGGGTGATTCCGAGAGTGTGTTGGATAAGTATAGTCTACAGGATGAGGCACAGTCTAAGGCAGGTTCCTCGAGTGCTGGGAAAGAAATTGTACAGGATTGTGAAATTTCAAAAGTGTCGGAAGGTTCTTGTAGCTTGAGTGGTGGATCAGGGGAGATGAAAGGTAGGACTGGTGGTAATGGTGGAGAGAATGAGAGTCAGACTGCTATTGAAGATGCATCTGTCCTTCAACATGAGGAAGATGCACCTATCCATCAACACTGTGCTGCTGATGAATCATTCACCAAGAGTGGTATTGATTTGGCAACGCTGTGTAAGTTTGAGAAGGTGCCTACGAGGACGCGCTCGTCTCTGACTGCTAAAAACGCAAAGCTGTGTTTGAGTCAGAATATCAAGGAACCCTCTCATAATCATGCATGTGAGACTCGAGGCCAGCCATCTGGACAAGCTGACAATACTGGGGATGAAAATATCAACGACCAAGTTGAAGATGATATGCCTCTTGTTCAGTTCGTTGAGGACAGTAAATGCCATAGGTCTAATTCTTTCCCCAATAACATTCTCAGGGAAAACAAAGAGAAAGATTCAGAACCAGAATTGCCTAATCTGCATAGATCACATTCGGTAGGGGAAAGAGGCGAGAAGCGAGCTCATGAAGGCAATGACTTGGAGGAGGAAGCAAAAAGACAGAGAAGTTGGGTGCCTTTGCCAGTTACTGAAGCCAATGATCGCTTCAACGCATTCAAAGCAAACGAAATCCAATGTGATCAGGAAGAAGAAGAAGAAGAAAAGCCAATCTCATTCTACAGGAAACTAATTGACGGTGTTGCTGGAAAAACCGACAACCATGATGGTAGTATACACAGGGGAAAATCAGGACCTGGGTATTCAGAAGAGCATCAGCTGTTTCCTGCTTCGTTTAAGATGTGTGACCTAAACCTAGGGGGAGCATCGGATGGGAATGATGGCAAAAAAGATTCTGGTCAAGCTGTTGGTTTTGATCTCTCAATCAGCAGCTCTAGCAAGTCTCTTGAGTTCGGTACTAATAATAATACTAGGATGAGCAATGGTAAAGAGATAGAAGTGATTGATTTGGACAATGATGATTCCCCAGATGTGGTCAAGTCCAGCAATAACCCTGGGAGAAAGTAATTATCAAGTCCCTATCTACACCTATATAAACACATGTTTTAGATATATATTGGCTAATGATTTGTTGATTGAAACATGTGACAGGCAAGAAGCTGTCCCATATATGGGCATTGATGATGTTCCAGATTACAATGAAGGGCTGATGATGGTTGAGTATCTTGATTCCTTTGGAAACATTCCTCCAATGAACAACCAGGGAATCAGTACTACTTTGCCACAGAATAATGAAGTTGCTCTTCAAGACCGAGAGGTAGTCACTCTCTACTTGTCAAGTGTTTTTGTCGCATAGAATGTGTTTTTGGTGCTAACTGAAAACATACGCAGGGAGCTCTCGGGAATGAGCAAGCAGCAAATAATACAGATGACGATTCGATATTTATGTCGCTGGGAGAAATACCATTGAGTAAGGCCCCACATTATGAGTGTTTCTTTCTCTTTTGTAGTAGCAGCTTATTAAAGAGGTTGATTTATCAATTTTTTGTGTGTGTGCAGCATTCTTGCAAACTTGGGATCAACCTCCAGCTCGAGGCTACGAGAAGCCTTTCTGATTCGCTTTTTGTTTTGGTGTTTACCACTAGCATTATTATTATGATATAATACCTGTCTATGTACTGAGTGTGTAGCCGTTGCATTTGTCCTAATCCCTCTCAGATGTAAGATTAAAAACGACATTAGTGTGTTGTGGCCTTGTAATCTACTCTGTTTGTTATTTGACGCATTCTCCTTTGTTTTTAGCCTTTTAGGTATTAGTTGAATTGAATCAACTACACCCCCCCCCCCTCCCCCCACATTTTCTTACATGTATGTAAGTAATAACACAGCATGCAGTCATGATATTTTTGTGTGTGGTAACAGTAAAGTTCTCAAGAGTGGCTGGTTTGTTTCTTCTGCTCATTCACATGGTAATAAACATATGCAGTTTCAGTCACCTGAACCAAAGAGCCAGGGATCTGTTGAGTCTGTGAAATATCTTAAAATGTACTGTCAGTGATGGTTTTGAGACTGGTTATGATTCTAGGTTTATGTCAGGGTTTGTTTTTTTTTTCAGCTGGTTTTGATTCAGAAAAGGATGATGATCGGAGTAGCAAATCTGGTCAGAGTGGGAAAATTCGTGTAGAGAATAGTAAGAAGCATAGAGGAGATAGTGTCTAAAACTCTGATTCCAGCTTGGAATCTGATATGAATGGTGATTTTCAAAGAGTAATGATAGTGCGGGAGGAGAAGGTGAAGACTGTACAAACAATAACAATCATTTTCCAGAGGAAGAGAATCCATTAACAGAGGTAGATAAAGTCGTTGGCAGATGACCAAGCTAATGAAACACTGAACCAAGCTCGAAGAAGTAGAAACAAAGGCTGCAAAGTTAAGAAACAGAGCTCAAGACCTGCAAAACAAGTGCATAGAAACCACTGGAACCATCAAGAAGAGAGCATGTAAGATCACCTTCCTTATAGTACAGTTAGTGTGGCTTCTTCTAACAGTACTTTTGGTGTTCATGTCCCAACTATTACCGGAGTCTTCTGATATTGCTATACCCACATGACACCTTTTGGTTATTTTTAGCAAACTATGTTCATTTCTTGTTAACATTTCTGGTTACAGGAATAAAAGATAAGTGTTTATTTTGTTGGAATGCTACTATACTAAGCCAAGACTAGAAAAGCCAAAATAGCGGTTGCGGCAGAGACCACCGGCGTGATGCGATGAGGAGCGGTTGAGGCGTTTAGGTTTGGTGGAGAAGGGCAAACGAGTCCCACTTTGGTTTCTTTGCACTCGTTGGCGAAAAGACCAAGTGGATAGTGACCGTAAGCGCTAATGTAGCTGAACATTATTTTGGCACAGTCAGTATTCAAGTCGCTGATTTGATTCGCGTAAGGACATGCAAACTCTTTAAACGCCTGGCAACATTCTTTCGCTGGATACGTTGGACCTCTACAGTGTCTCGTCAGATCCGTGTAGTTCTTACTCTCAAAGTCCACTTCACAATCTGTTCCCAACACAAACCAAAAATAAAAAAATAAAGTAACAAAAGGACTTGCGTTGAAGACCAAACAAAAGGACTTACGTTTCTTGGCGTTAAGTAGGTTCCTTCCACTAACCGAGGTCTCAGATTCGAACACACTATCTACAGAACACAACAGATTATCATCTCCATCATCTAACCAGAGAGCAAAGCAGATTTGGGGGGAAAGAAAGAACACAGAAACGTACTAGATATGGAGCTTGAAGAGGAGAGAGTCACCAATAATGCCATCAGAAGGAGAAACAGTTTCACCTCCATGAAACTGTTGTTGTTATAGAAGCTTGAAGATTTTAAAGAAGAATATTCAAGGAAAGGAGTTACGGTGAAACCAAACCAGAGAAAGATAACAGAGGAGAAATTAATGTCTTCCAAATTTAAACGGTTGTAATTGCTTAGAAAACGCCAAGATTAATTAAATAATTGTAAATTTTAAATCTAAAACTATAAAAAGATAAACGTAACGTATTAGACAAATATCTAATCATTTCTGAAATCCCCTCATTTTTGACATGATGATAATTTAAAGGAACTTTAAGTTGCATTGTATAGAACTTATCTAAGATGATGTATTTCTTACTAGAGTAAATACCAATTAAAGACTACTAAAGCTTTATAGATCTGCAAAATAAGCAAACTCGAGACTGTAAATGTGTAATCATGCATTGTTGTTGTAGGTCAAGTTTTATTAATTGTGTCCTGTTAAATGTATAAAAAAATACAACTAAAAGGTGTGAATGCAAAGGTATGTTGACATTGGATTCCACAGTGTTTATCTTTATTTTTTTGATCAACCTGAATTCTTTATCTATTGTGGCTGATTCCATTGTTTTGATATGAAATGATAAGAATGTTTACCATTTTCATTTGAGTGTAGTGATACATATTAGAATGTTCTATATAGACATTTTAATGTTTGAAGACTAAAGAGATTGTAAAATGAAATAAAGATACCATCAAAGACATATTTTAATATTTAAAGAGATTGCAAAGATCAAAATGTGCTGGGGAGAGAGCCATTGATTCATTCATAGTTTGTAGATAGGATTCAAAGTTTCCCTTATTCATTTACACTAACCCACATTTCTCAGTCTAGATATAGATGTAATATATATGGTAAATGTAAAAATATTGCTATTAATTAAATAACACACTGGTCAATAGTCAAAGATTAATGGTAATATTAAACCATTGTGTTAAACCAATACTAAAGAAATCAAATCACTGGGAAGTAACTAGATCAGATTTGCCACATATGCAGCCTAACCCAATTATTAGAAGACTATGTTAAACTAATGTATTTTCGCCAAAGATTTTACTCATGCAATTTCTTTGGTCAAAACTAATTCCATTTCATCACTGTAAAAGAAAAATTGTAGAAAGTCAAGGATGGAGAGTTTATGTTAAAATACTAGTTAATGACAAATGAATAAGCGTTTTTAATAAAGATCTACAAGTACGTGGCATCTTCAGCATTCTTCACGGCATTACAAATCAATTCATTTTCTCAAACATATTAATCATTTTTCTGCTTGTAAACCAAAAAGAAAAAAGCAATAAACATATCTTTAATTGTGAATAAGATATTAATACAGGTTCTTTCTCTTCTTTCTTTCTTGTAAGATCTATTGTTGTTTATGAAATTTGTCCTTGTCCTTTATATGTTGTCCTGGTTCAAATATTTTCACATTATTTAATGAATCTCTAAGTAGATATGGTCTTATTGATCATGAAATCACCAAACATTATTTTTTATTATGTGCACTAATTGGACACGTTGGACCTCTACACTATCTTATAAGTAATTTTGGCCAAAGCTTGTGGAGATATTGATTATGAGAGCTTTGATATGAATACCATCACAATCCTAAAGAAAAGAAGCGAAACTAGTTGTAGTTGGTGAGACTAGTTGCTAAAGATAAGAAATATATGAAATTGTCTAAAAAATACTTGGTCAGTCATGATTACAATCTTTCCATATCTGAGCTTTGCAACATTTTCATATTGTAGTTCAAACTCTAGTCCAAGAGCCTTAATGACTTTCCCTAGTTACACATTCTACTTGCCCTTGTTTTTGGTGTGAATCTTTGGATTCAATAATTTTCCTTGAATGTGTAGATCACATTCAAGGGAAGTTGTCCTGGTTCAAATATTTTCACATTATTTAATGAATCTCTAAGTAGTTATAGTCTTGTTGATCATGAAATCACCAAACATCATTTCTTATTATGTGCACTAATTGGATATGTTGGACTCTACACTGTCTTATAAGTAATTTTGGCCAAAACTCGTGGAGATATTGATTATGAAAGCTTTGATATGAATACCATCACAATCCTAAAGAAAAGAAACGAAACTAGTTGTAGTTGGTGAGACTAGTTGCTAAAGATAAGAAATATATGAAATTTTCTAAAGAATACTTAGTCAGTGATGATTACAATCTTTCCATATCTGAGCTTTGCAACATTTTCATATTGTAGTTCAAACTCTAGTCCAAGAGCCTTCATGAGTTCAAGTTGTAGTTTAATCTCTTGGCCTTGTTTTTGGTGTGAATCTTTGGATTCAATAACTTCCCTTGACTGTGAAGATAGTCCTCTCATCTAATAATTAAGAGTATGTTGTGAAAATTAAGAATACATGTGCAAACTTAAAAACAATAGATGAAATAAATAATGTCTTTACTACTAGAATAAGACCATAAACAAACATATTATTGAATTAAAGAGTACTATAGATTTATAGATTTAAAAAATAAGTAAGCTCGATATTGTAAATGTGTAATCATGCACAATATTATAAATGTGTAATCATGCACTGTTTTTTCTAGGTCGGGTTTTATTAAATGTTCACAGTTAAAAGTATGAATAATGCAACTAAAAATATAAAAGGTGTGAGTGCAAATGTAAGTTGATCTTGGATTCTATAGTGTTTGTTTTGTTGTCCATCTTTGAGTAAAAACAAACTATTAGCTCATTTCTTATCTAATGTGGTTGATTCACCATTGTTTAGATATGAAAATGATAAGAATGTTCACCATTTTGATTTGAGTGTAGTGATACAAATTAGAATGTTATATGAATCATCAAATACAAATTTTAGTATTTAAAGAGATTGTAAAGATCAAAATGTGTTGTGGCAAATTTATTGATTCATCCATAGTCATAGTTTGTAGATAGATTCAGAGTTTTCGTTATTCTTTTAACTTAACACAGATTTCTTATTCTATATATAGATGTATTATATATGGTAAACAAGTTTATTAGAAAATACACTTGTCAATAGTGATTGGTGGCAAAACTAAACCATTGTATTAAACTAATGCCATAGTCACCAAAATATTAATCATATAATAGTTTTTCAGATTAATTATCATATTAGAGTTAGAAATTTATTTTATTTTAAGTAATATTTTATGTTTTCAATGTATTTATTTATTAGTTTTTTCCAATTTTATCTCTATGCTTTTAATTCATTAATTAACAATATCAAATAAAATAATATATTAATTAGGAATAAAACATGAAATTTAATGATTTTTCTTAGCTAAGTGAAAAATCTAGAGTGATATATATATATTTATATAATTAAAGAGAGGGAGTACCATTTCTTTGGTCAAAAGAGTACCATTTCAATATTGTAAATTTAAAATTTCAGAAAGTCAAGGATGAAGAGTTAATGTTAAAATATTAAACTGATGACAAATGAATAAACGTTTTTTATAAAGATCTGCAAGTACGTGGATTCTTCAGCTTTCTACACGGCATTACAAATCTCTTTCAATTCTTCTTCTCAGACATTTTTTTTTGGAACAGAGTCTTCTCAAGACATTTAATCTTTCTCTTTTCCTGTTAAACAAAAACAATAATCAGATCTCTAATTGTGTTCTTGATCTCGTGAAAAACAAAGAAATTAAAACAGGTTTGTTTTTTCTTCGTCTTGATTCTTGTGACATATATATCGTCTGTTCATAAAATTTGTCTTTCATATGTTGTCTTGATTTATATTTTCACGTTATTTACGGTATCTCTAAGTAGATCTAGTCTTGTATAATCTTAGAATCACCAAACAGCTAGCGTTTATTATTATTATGTGCAATCAAGCAAGAGACTTATTTAAGCTACCTTGTCTTACAAGAAACTAGATTTGATCTCTAAACACGAGAGAGACATGGGAGGTGCGGTGACGAAATCTGATGCTCAAGAATGGGTTCCAGAGACAAAACTAGAGGCTAAGATCAAAGAAGCCATGCAACGCAGGGAATCTAAAGGCACCACAACGAAATCTTTCAACAGTATTATCCTCAAGTTCCCAAAGATCGACGAGGGTCTAAGAAACTGCAAAGCCATTTTCCAAGAGTTTGGTGAGTGCATATATACAAAGATTCTTAATCATTGGTTTGGTTTCCTCATGGTTGTTTGTTTACTTGGTTGGTTTATTTGTGCAGATGAGGATTCAAATGGGTCTATTGATCACTCTGAGCTAAAGAACTGTTTCAGGAAGCTAGAGATCTCGTTTGAAGAAGAAGAAGAGATAAATGATTTGTTTCAGGCTTGTGATATTAACGAAGATATGGAGATTGCATTTACTGAGTTCATTGTTCTTCTCTGCCTTGTCTACCTTCTTAAAGACGATTCATCCACTCTCCAAAAGGTAGTAAACAATAGAAATGCTTTTTTTTTTCGTAAAAAATAATTCGCCCACCGTGGGGCTCGAACCCACGACCACAAGGTTAAGAGCCTTGCGCTCTACCAACTGAGCTAGACGGGCTACTTACGTTATCAATATTCTGTCTAACTATTTTTCCGCACAATGAACAGAAATGGAGACTGGGAATGCCAAAGCTGGAACCAACGTTTGAGACGTTAGTGGACACGTTCGTGTTCCTTGACGAGAACAAGGATGGACATGTGAGCCGTGAGGAGATGTTCAGAGCCATTGATGAATCTGGAGAACGTTCCTCAGGGAGGATTGCAATGAAGAGATTTGGTCTAATCTCTTAACTACTTCCTCTACATTTTCTTTCACTGAACAAAGAATATCTGATTTTGAGTCATTTGTTTGCAGAGGAAATGGACTGGGACAAGAATGGAATGGTGAACTTCAAAGAGTTTTTGTTCGCATTTACTCAGTGGGTTGGGATAGATGAGAATGAAGATGATGATGACGATAACAAGGCTTGAGATGTTATGGAGTTTCTAAGATTATATGTTTGTGTAGTAGTAACAAACTATATTAATGCAAACAGAATAATTCATTACCAAACACACAAACCATTATGTTTTTACCCAAAAAGTCTAAGCAACAAAGCTTATTAGTAGTAGTAGTCTCCAGTGAATCAAAAGAACAAAAGCCTAACCTCGGACAGAGACAGATACACAGATACAGACTCCTGTAGTTCTGTCATCTGAACTCTCTCCGGGACACATAAGTAAGCAGACATAGATTCATATACGAAGGGTGTTTTTTTTTTATTCCAGGGATAAGAGAGAGTTACCAGTAGCCCAGAGTAGGATGGGATGGAGATGGAATCTCAAAAGCCTTCTTGTTGGAAGAAGGAAGTGGTTAACGGTTGCAATATATTATACCTTCTTGAAAAGGTGAGATGATTTTTTTATTTATTTAGTCCCTTGTCTTGGCTCTCTTCATGCCAAGGCTATTGTAAGGAGAGACTGAACCAGACATTGGTGACCCTTCTTCTCTAAGACTACCGTTGAGAAGCGCCAGTTCCCTGAGCTGTTGTTTCTTGTAGAAATCATGAGTCTCCTCCTAAAAAAAACAATACAAAGAAACATAAGTGTTGTAATGTAAACAAAGATCTTTGAGGAGCTAATGAAGAGAACAAACCACTGGAGTAAGTAGATCGGCTAATATTTCACGAGCTTGCATGAGACGTGCATCCACTATCTCAATAGGTAACTCTGCCTCGACTAAGATGTGGAGTTGCTCATTCAAGTGCTCATAACCAGGCTTCCCTCTCATCATTTCCTCCTGCAACAATGTTAATAGAATCAAGACACAGATACAAAGTTAAGGTGTTTTTTATACGTACAGATGAAGAAAATGTAATCACCTTAACAGGATCTTTAATGCTGCCTCTCCCTCTGATCAGAACACGGCATTCAGAGCTAGCTTCAACTCGTTTAAGAGAGTTTCCTCTAGGTCCCAAGAGACGGCCAACAAAATTGTACTGCAGATTATCAAATTGAAGTTTATACATTGGCCAGATAGTTTAGGATCTCAGCTAAGATACTAAAATACATACGTTTGGATATTTGTCGACAGGAACATCCACCCTGATTGATCGTTTTACAATGAGACCTGACGAGCTACCAGGAGAGTTTAGCCAATTTGGTGCTGGAGATGATGACAGAGATCTCTGCAAATTAGATAAACCAACAACCTGTTAGAAAGCCATGTCATCCTCAAATGCATAACTACATGATACAGACATCTGGTTGCAGTATCAAAACCACAAGAACGTTAAAAACAGATCTTATCAAATGTAACGGAAAGCAATGGTATTGCGTTGTTGAACAGCAACCTGTAACCTCTAATACTCATAATATTCACAAAACAAGCACATATATTATAGATCATGTTATATCCAATCCTTCACAGCTGCTACCTAAGGTAAATGGAGTATCTAGTTAGTGTTTATCAGAGTTAGCACCTAAGCTACATGTCATGATGAACTAGGATGAAGAGTAAGGCAAAGGAAGTTATGTCAGCAAGTCAACAAAAGGTTGTACTAACAATAGTATGAATTAGATGGAAAAAGAGTTATGTTAATGGTTAGTAGAGAGTCATTACTTCTGATGGAAATTGTGGGGGCCATCCGTTCATGTCAGCTCTTGAGTTCAATATCCCTCCAGAAGATAGAGGGCTAGGGTGGTCAAACCTACTCTGACTTAAGGCATTCTCCAACAGCGTGGTTACACGCAAAATTTCTGTTTCAAAAAAATGTCAAATTTTCAAAGAGTAAGACGCACCAGTTAGTATTTAGTCCACAAATCCATCACCAATTACAGTGGAATGGAGAGAGAGAGAGAGAGTCTCTCAACTAAGTTAGTGAATATTAATTTTTCACTACAGTTAAAAGTAGAAAGAAAACAACAGAGAGCAACGAAGGGGTAATCCAACTACACTATGTTCTCTATGAACGGAACACTATGAAACAATTTAGAATTCACAAAAACAATCAAAACATTCTTAGTAAGTAATCTCTCTTTTTCTAAGAAGGTCCACTGAGATGCTTATCAATTGTAAGAAAAACTTGTAACACAGAAGCAGGAGACAAAAAAATAACTGTAGAAGACATTATGAAGAAAGTAAAAAAAGCATCTTATTATAACAGTATGGGGCTAACCTTGGTTCATCAGACGGCAGACATGTGGGAGCACAGGTAAGAAGGGAGTAAGCTTATGGCGCTCTGCAAGTAATTCAGAAAGATACCTGCCAAAAACAGAAATTATCCAAATCAGTATGACCTTGAAGCACACAAGACACCAAGCAGATCCACTCATTTTCACTTAACAACAGGTTTACTAAGAAAATACAAATGTCAAATCTTTCAGCAAATTAGAGTGAACTAAGCTAAAGTATTAGCTTCATGAACACAAGTCATCAAACACAAAACGATTGCAAGCAATGGTTTTATATGATATTATGGCACTGACAATCCATTTTCCCAATAGATAACAGGCAAATTGACTAAATAGATTCAGAAAATTTTGTTTTACAAATTAAAACTATATAACTTTACTAAAACTCAGTGAAGAATTCAAGTAGATTAAGCTAATAAAAGAGCTTAATTTACAGCGGTAGGTAGGAGTCCAAAAAAGCAAACATAGATCTTGGTGCAAGCAACAAGAACTAGAAATTAAATAATTCGATAAATCCAAAAAAAGTTAAAATTTGTAATGAAAAGTTAAAGAGCTCAGGATCCAAGAACAAAACAAGTCAACTGTAAGAAGAAAAAAATAAACTATCAGATTTGTAAATTACTTTTCTTGCTCAACGAGGAAAGAAGGTTGTGGTGATCGGAGACCACCAGAGAAGTTGTTAGGTGACTGAGGAGCCGAGGGAGGCACTGAAAGAGGCGGCGGATACGTCATAAATCTACCTCCTCCTCCACCATCTCCTCCACCACCACCACCGAGTGACGACATCATCATCATCACGACGTCTTTTTATTCCTCAAAGCTTAAGAGATAAGAGGTATGTGGCGGCGGGATCAGAAGAAGAGGAGAGATAGTGAATATGGCACACACACACACAGTTTTTTAGCCCTCAAAATCTGAATCTACTGCACACGTCGGTGGATGTTGTTTTGTTTTGGACCTTTATAGCTGTCTCGAAATGATTAAATATTATTTTCATTTGCTGCTTTACCATCCAAGTTTTGATTTTCTTACCGCTCTTGTCCTAAAAGCTTCTTACTGACTCTCACAAGGACTTGTCCAAACTTCTTGCTGATTCACAAGGTCTGGAATCTGGATCCAGCTGTATTAACTCTCTTTTAATCATTGAGAGGCTACAGCTACCTACTTGAGATGGGCCCAATAGAATCAGTGTTGTACTATAAAACACGTGGTTAACCACAATCGTGAAAACGCTGCGTTTTTGTCTACTTTCACCGAACAAAGGTTCTTCTTCATCAAGTCGCTGACTTTGGAAGTTTTGGATTAAATGTATAAGAAAGAAGAAAGTTGTTTAACTCAAGCTTAAGTGGGATTGGTTCTCTACTCAGAGGGTTCCAGGCATATAGATTTTTATTGGGCTTGACTGGGCCCAACTAAATTACGTAGCTCAGCAGTATTAAACGAACAACAAAATACACAAATTGAAATTGTGATCACTCGATCATGGGTGGGATTACCTAAAATATTATTTTGCAACAACAAACTACACTCTATGTATGCTCACCAGTAATAAACAGCAACAACATAATAAAAAAAAAAGAAGTGATAGCATCTCTTTCAAGATCATATTGTCTTTTCAAAAAAATAACTCTATACACCAGATAGAAGTAAAGTTTGTTTGTTTCTCACAGATTGGTTGTGAAAAGCTCATCTCCCAAAAACTCTTAGAACAGATGAAGTAAGAGCAGAACTGAGGAACTTCATGCCTGATGATCCACCAGGGAAGTAGGATATACAGTAGTAAACCAACGCAAGAACCTGTCCATTACCACAAAGAAACATATACCAAGGAAATCATGAGATTTAGTATAAACGTGCACAAGTTCTTAAACCGATACAAGTATCTTTTTCTACAATCCAATTTGATGGGGGTAAAGAAGCAGGTAAGCAAACACCACAGTAGTTCGAGACAGTCACATGTTTGTTGCTATAATGTGGAGATTCATGATCTGAATACTTTGATGCTTGTTTTCAACTTGCTCATAGGAGATCTCATTTTGAAAAAAAAACTTCAACTTAAAGGTTGGAAGATGAAATGTGGTACCTGCAAGACAGAGAAGACCACGGAGAGAATGTAGCTGTGGAGAACCATGGAGACGTATATGGTACCAACCATGGTGGCAATGAATCCTATGGTTAAAGGAAGCCTCTGAAAAAAATAAAGACACACGAAATTATAAAGGGATTAAGGATTTCATTATTAGCTTCAAGGCATGAGACAGAAAGTATATAACTAACGAAGCAATACCTCCATGGATGACATGTGTGCGAGCTGATTTTGTGGGCCACGAAGAGCGAAAAATGATCCGATGATAAATCCACATCCAAGGGTGAAACAAATGGCAAATTTCTGAGGCATAAGCACCATGACTGGAAGAAACATAGTGAAGGCAATGAAGATGAAGAATACACCACTGGCGAGAAGTAAACCGAAATACATGAGGGCTTTCCCTGATGGCATACTGCTTGTTGCTGACGACAAGTTCCCCGGAATATCTCTAACCCCCTTTGAAACCCTGAATACATGTAAAAGTTGCAAAAAATCAAACAAAAGAAGAACAATTGCATTGATAACAAAAGACAAGAAGAAGCACAGACACGTTAAAAAACTTCAGTAAGTGATCTAGAGATAAGCTAGTAAGATATACACTGAACACACAAATCCAAAAACTGCTTATATAACGCTAAACACGATTTTTCACAAAGTATAGCACGTCGAACGTAGCATAACAGACATAGATTTCACAAGTTCATAAAACACCAAAACAAAAATGCAGCTAAAGGCCTAAAGAGAAAACATGAATCTGAATATTAACAGAGAAAGGAACATATTTTCAGCCATGTAGAAAACTCATATCTACAACCAAATTCGTTTGATGGCAAAGAGTGATGAACACACAACTGGATCCATGTATTCACTGAAGGATGACAAGGTAGCTTGTAATACATTGAACACACAATTCCAAAAACTGCTTATATAAAGTTCAACACGGTCTTTCACAAGGTATAGCACGTAGCATGACAGACATAGATTTCACAAGTTCATGAAACTCCAAAATCAAAGCTAAAGGTCTAAAGAGAAATAGGAATCTGACTATTGATATATGAAGGAACATTTTTTTCAGAAAATCCGTAAGAAAGTCCTCCACAAAAGAGCTAATGTTCATGTAGAAGAAATTCACAGTTACAACCACATGGATTTTGGCAAAGAGTGATGAACACACAACTACACAACTGGGTCCAAGTACTCCACAACTAGATACAACATATTCATTGGAGAAACGAATATGTTTGAATGTAATATGGTGAACACACAATTCCAAAAACTGCTCCAATGAATATGTTTGAATGTAATATGGTGAACACACAATTCCAAAAACTGCTCCAATGAATATGTTTGAATGTAATATGGTGAACACACAATTCCAAAAACTGCTCCAATGAATATGTTTGAATGTAATATGGTGAACACACAATTCCAAAAACTGCTCCAATGAATATGTTTGAATGTAATATGGTGAACACACAATTCCAAAAACTGCTCCAATGAATATGTTTGAATGTAATATGGTGAACACACAATTCCAAAAACTGCTCCAATGAATATGTTTGAATGTAATATGGTGAACACACAATTCCAAAAACTGCTTATCCAAAGCTAAACACAATCCTTCACAAAGTATAGCACATAACAGACATAGGGAGCATTGCAAATCCGTATGAAAGTCCTCCACAAGAGAGCTAATGTTCATGTAGAAATTCACAGCTACAACCACATGGATTCTTATGCTGGCACAGAGAGTGATGAACACACAAGTGGCTCCATATACTCCCATACAAAATCTTCTATTCAGAGCTATTCACTAACTAAATCTAGATCCAATGCAACTCACACTACTGTTTCATCAGACCTATTCATTTAACTAAAAATCCATTGATAAAATGCAATTCTCAGATTCACTAACACACACACTTCTAACTACCACCAAAAACTTCAATCCTCTCAAATTCAATATTCTCGCCATCTGGGAAAGAGATATACGATGACTTACACATTGAAGGTGCCAGAAACAGTGTCGTTAGCAGATCTAACGGCGGATTCGATATCGAACCCGAAGCTCCCGCTCCCACCTTCCTCAACATCTCTCGACGCTGCGTAAGAGTTCCAATCCGCGAGCAGAGACGACGAACCTGATTTCTGCGATTGCTCCTGCTGCTGCTGACCTGCGCTGCTGCTTCCGCCGAGCGAAAACCATCCTTGTGACATTTTTCTCCACAGCTCTTTTGCTAATTTCGGTTTTCAAATAGTTTCGAAACGGAAGCAAATAGGCGGCAGATCAGAACGCCGGCGATCGGAGATTCACGCGAGCGTTTAGGATTCGGTGGTAGAGTAAGAGAACCCGTCGTCGATCAGTGTGAATCGTTGTTTTGGCTTAAACAGTGTCGTTTCGTTCGAGGGCAATAGGCTTACGAGTTAAGTTACTTATTTTCAGATGCAAGTTGAATTAATTTGATTTGATTTAGATGATTATTGGAGAATTTCAGATTTTGTATGATTTTTATAAAACAACTTAGATCTTGATGTGCAGGTTTTTATGAATTCTAAAATATTTTAGATTATACGATAAAAATTATTAATATATAAATATAATTTGATGTTATATATTAATATCTAACTTTATAATAATGTTTATATGACTGATAATATTATTACTATAAAATTTGTATTTTTGTAAGAATTTTAAAGAACATTATTATGTAACGGTAATATTTTTTTATTTCTAAATAGGCAATATATGTGGAAATTAAATTAAGTAGATATACATAACAGAAAAGCAAAATATTTAGGATATTTTCAAAAATATTTTACATAATTTTGTTATAAATTATGAATAATTTTTTAATCATATTTTTGATAACTAAAATTTCAACTAACTGATTTTCAAAAATATATTTTTAAAAAATCTAAAAAGATCTTACAAAGATATTGTTAGAATTGTCATAAAAGTATTATTTTCTATTTCAAATAAAATTAAAAATATGAATGATGTTATGTAAAAATTAATAAACTTTCTAAAAATAGTTTAAAATAAAAAATCACACATAAAGTGAATTATAAACCGGGGTTTCTAGCTCTAGTGGTACAGAACTTACAGTTGTGAGTATCGCCACCTAAATTTGAATCCCGGTCACTAAAGAATTGACATTTCGACATTGCTAGGGACAGAGGACCGACAAGTGGCAACACGTAACTAGTGTGGATCATTTTTTACCTTTGTATAATTCAAAGAAAAAAAAATAGATTAGTCATGTCTTATATCGTTAAATTTAAATTGTGATATGTTTTAATAAGATAAATAAAAGATACCAATGGTATACTAACACAAATTATTATTTGTAACACAACAATTACAAAATATTATTCTTGCGATGAAAGTTGTGGCACCGCCTTTGAGATCGATCAAAACTAAGGGGTATATAAACCAAACCCTAATATATGTATGAACACCTACCTTTATATTTTTTTTTCTTCGAGAAGTCAATCAAGACGATAAGACAGACAATGATGATGATATCCGATCTTCCACACGATTTGGAAGCAGAGATACTCTGTAGGGTTCCAGCCAAATCTCTATGGGAACTTAGAGCTACTTGCAAACGTTGGTACGCTTTATTCTTAGATCCGAGGTTCATGGAGAGGAACACAAAGTTGGGTAGAGCTGTAAGAGAGTCAATGCTAGTGAGCAATTTTAGGGTTTATTCAGTCGCTGGAGACCTTCATGGACTTTACACCAATGGCGGCGTCGAACCATCTATCATGGTCACCGGTAAACTTGAAAGTGTAAAGAGTTCAAAGGATTTGGTTTTCTTAGAGATGTATCACTGTAACGGTTTGATGTTATGCATCACAAAGGGAAACATTAGACTTGTGGTTTGGAACCCATGTACTGGTCAAACGAGGAATATCAAAGCCAGAACTTGTTTCAGTAGTAGGGATACCTATGCATTAGGATATAGCACATCTTCTTTTTCTTCTGGCCATAGCTACAAAATCTTGAGGCATTGGTATCATGAAAACGACCAGAAAGTGTTGATTGTTGAGTGTGAGATCTATGAGCTTAGCTCTGACTCTTGGAAGGTTCTTGATTCCTTCCCTCGTGACTACACCTTTTCTTGCGATGGCATATCTTTGAAAGGTAATAATTATTGGGTTGCTAACAATGAAGAAACAGGCTATTTCTTGGTGAAATTTGATTTCACGACGGAGAAATTTGTGCGTCTCCCTCTTCCGTTTCAGAGTTTTGATCTTGAACAACAAACCGTGGCTCTGTCAGCTGTTAAGGATGAAAAGCTATCGGTGTTACATCAGAATATTTATCCATGGTCAAATGTGATGAAGATATGGGTGACCAATAAGGTTGATGTTGATGATGACTTGTCGTGGAGGAGCGACTTTGTCATCACGGTGAATTTTGATAATTTTAACCTCCCAAGTGTGTCGAATGTGACAAGCTTCTTGTTGGACGAGGAGAATAAAGTGGCAGTGTGCTGTGACAAAGACGATGATGATTTAGACTTAGTGGAAGGTAAATATAAGACCAGAGTCTACGTTGTTGGAGAGGATATGTTTAAACCAGTTTATAAAGATGACGTAAAGACATCTCACCTCAACTGGCCAATTGTCATTACATATGTTCCAAGCTTGGTTCGCATTCACAAGAGAACACCCAAAAGGCATAAGAGAAGAAGGTTGTCCCTTCAATGAATTACATGATGTTATTTCGATCATAGATATTACCAAAGGTGTTGTTTCTATTTTAGTTAATACTTGATTAAGCTTTTCTTTTCCCTCTTGTTTTGCTTTTGGAATATTTGATCTTTTTACACAATTAATACATTGTTCTGTTTATAGCCAATTTCCGTAACCGAAACAACTATATGAGTTTAACCAACACAATACAGAATGTAAACTTTGTTGTTGTAAAAAAAAGTCAAACAATAAATAAAAGGGAATATAAGCTTCATTCAGCATATCCACATAAGCATAAAATATCAACTAATAACAACACTCGAAAATGCTAAGTCATCAATTTAACATGCCAGCACCAAACAAAATCTCACGAAATCGATCTCTCTTTCAAGAAACTTCCGACGAAAGACCTTCCTTCATGGTTCATGGTATAACTTCAAGCTTTAAATAAATCACTAGATTTTGACCCGTCTTTTAAAGGGCATGTATATTTTTTGTTCTACATTTTTAGAAATTTAATTTTCTTATTTGTGCTTTTCTTTGTAATTATATTTATAGTTTTTATACATAATTTAATTTTTATATTTATGATTTTTTTTTGTAATCATATCTGTGTTTTTCTTTCGAAACCTATTTAACAAAATAAATTTGTTTTATGAATTTTGATCCAATATTCGTATTGGTGTTTTTCTTTGTAATCATATTTATAATTTTATTTTAAATAATTTAATTTTATATTTATGATTTTCTTTGTAATCATATTTTAATTTTTAATCCTATTTAACAAAATAAATTGGGTTGTATTAATTTTGATCCAATGTAAATAAAAACAACATTACCTTTGAAAGCGGGTTATGAATTTTTTTACAATAACCTTTTTTATTATCGAAATTTTAATTTTATCTATAACTAATGTTTACATGTAGTATTTTCTTTGGTACATTAGATGATTAAGATTTTAGGCGAGAGTTTTGACCCGCAGAAAATACAATATTTTTAATTTAATATTTATAGAATTGTCATTTCAGTTTTATTTTTCATTTTTAATGTTTATTTTTTTATTTTTTATTTATGAATAGTAGGCAAAAATATATTTTATGAATTTTAATATTTTTAAATTAATTTATACGTGTTATTTGAACCCGAACTGAAATTTCAAAATATACGAGTGAGACTAAAATATTTAACTCCGAAGAATCAAAATCCGAATAGACTCTAACTGAACTCGAACATGTACTCAAACGTCCCTTCCTAATTTCTATATAAGATATTGTATAGGTTTGGACATATTTATATGAAACCAAAGAACCAAAACCAAATGTAGACCTAATTTATAATAACCAAGTGATACCTATATTTCTGTAACAAAAAAATTACATTTGAACCGAAATCAAACCGCGAACCAAATAGGAATCCAAATTTTTAAAATAAAATTATTTACCCACAAACATTAATTATACCTAATTACTAAATAACTAAATATACTAAAAATACTAAAAATACTATTTATTAACAAAATTACTTGAATAATTTTATCCATACATTTAACATTATCCGAATTATTTCATTTTTTTATTCAAACAGTTTGATATTTAAAGTTGGTATAGTTATTTTTTTTTTAAACATAGGTATTGATACTATGAATATAATTAAATGCTATTAATTGTTATTGTTAATATATATAGTGAATTGTATTAGGCATGAAGAAATCAAAAATATAATAGATGAATGTGTTCCAAAAAAAAAATAGATGAATTGATTGCTGTCACTGATTGTAGTTTAATAATCTTTGTTTGCTTAGATATATAGTTAATGTTTACATAATTTTTTTCTACTACCCAAAATTATAGGAAGTAAAGAGGAGGAGAAGTTATAAAACACCAAATCACGTTATATATATATATATATATATGTGTGTATATGTTAAATATTGGCAGTTAATTATTTTAAAAGGAAGTTGTACATAATTGGACGTAACATTTATCAACTGGACATGATTCTAATTTAATAGTATTGATTCTAGAATTTCATCTAAAACTCTTAAGATTTGAATTTTACTTTCCTCAAATATTCTAGTAATTCTTAAAACACTCTCAAACCTCCAACTTAAATTTGTTCAATAATGGTGAATTTAAGAAAGTTTTATGAAATGATGTTCAATAAAAATAGATTTTAAAATACTTTTTTTTTTAAATCAAGCTTGAGTAATAGTGGATATCTATTATATTAAAAGAGAAGTCATGACTCCCTTAATGTGTGATTTTTTACTTTGGATCATCCTTAGAAATTTTATAAAATTTTACATAACATCATTATAATATATTTTCATATATTTAATTTTTATTTGAAATACAAATAAATATTTTAAAGAAAATTCTAACAAAATCTTTTAAAAATCTTTAAGAATCTTTTCAAGATATAGTTTCTAAAATTATTTNTGTGTGATTTTTTACTTTGGATCATCCTTAGAAATTTTATAAAATTTTACATAACATCATTATAATATATTTTCATATATTTAATTTTTATTTGAAATACAAATAAATATTTTAAAGAAAATTCTAACAAAATCTTTTAAAAATCTTTAAGAATCTTTTCAAGATATAGTTTCTAAAATTATTTATAAACAAAAAATTAAAATTATGTAAAATACTTTTGACAATATCCCAAAATTTTGTTTATGTATTATGTAGGTCCAACTTAATTTACTTTTTACATATATTTCAAATTTAGAAATAAAATAGAATATATAAATTAGTAATGTTATATAATAATGTTCTTAAAAATTGTTAAAAAAACAAAAATTTATAAATTTTATATCAATATAAGTCACATAAACATTATTATAAAATTGGATAGTATACAGAATAATATTATATTTATTTATTGATAAATTTTATTATATAATTACAAATATTTTCGTACTAATTTTTTATACATGTTTCATATCTTTAACTTTAATTTGAAAAACAAATTCTAACAATATCTTTTTAAGATCTTTAAGATATTTTCAAATAAATTTTCGAATTATTTAATTAATTATCAGAAAATATAATTAAAATGTTTATTCATTTTTTATTTATAACACAAATTAAAAATTGTATAAAAAAATTTTAACTTTGTTCTAAAAAATTAGCTTCTTTATAATGTTGGTCCAACTTAATTTAAATTTCACATATATTTCAAATTTAGAAATAAAATAATTCTTGCTGTTACATAACGATGCCTTTTTTAAATATAAAAATAAGAAATTTTAACATAATATTATTATAAGCCACACAAACATTATTATAAATTTAGGTAATATATAATATGTGTTACAAAAAAAGGTAATATATAACATCAAATTATATTAATATGTTGATAATTTTTATTGTATAACATAAAATATTTTAGTATTTAAAAAACTCGTACGGTTGTGCGGATCAAAATCTAGTGTTATTTTAATACAAATCAACTTAGATTTTAGTTGAATACACTTCCTTAATTCACCCGACTAAGTAAAGTTTAGTAGAAAAAAGACAACTTAATAGTTTAGTTTAGTGTAATTTGTGTTACAGATTTACAATAGAAGATAACACAAATACTTCAATAACTTTGTCTGAAGATCATAATATTTTCAAGAGCTGAACTTCAAAGACCAGAGGCTCATTCGCGTGGGACAAAAGGCTGCGTCGTGGTCCAAACTGCATCCACAAAGACGTATCGTTTACATTATCTATCTACTTCATTGTTCATAGAGAGGAATAAGTGAAGGAGTAAAAATATGGGTACCTCCTCAGGGATTGGCTTCAGTGTCTCGTTTATGTACCCTACTGATGGAGGTATCAGTGCTCTACGCTTCCCTGGAAATAATGCTGCTACATGTTAGAAACTGAAAATTCATCTAAAGACAAGAATCTTGTTCTTCGTGTTGTTTCATTCTTTTTTTACCTCCAGCTTTCATGCCCACCAATACCTCCTTCAAGCCCTCGATAACCTATTTTGCCAAGTAATTTGTTTGTTAGTACTACAGGCCATGATTTGGTTGCTATTTTATATGTGAAGTTTGAGTTTAAAAGATTAAAGTACGTCATTGCCGTCAAGGAGAAGTTTGACAGGAGCGCTTTCGCCACTGAATTGGTCCACCGTACTGAATCAAGAAACCATAAGAGTTAGGAAAAAAAAAGGGATCAACTGTGAGAGAAATAAGCTACTCAAGCATCTGAAACCTCTCACCTATGAACGAAATATCCATTAGCACGTCGACATACATAGTTTAGTTCAACCAGGTCTCCTTCATGAGCTTCTCGTCCTTCCCCTTCAACAATCTCTGCAAAATTAAATAAAAAAAAACATTTGAAAATATCCATTATAAGTCTCTAGATATTTCAAAGTAACCTTGAATCCTGACGCCACTTGGGAGCTTCAACGTCCTGGTCACTTCAATCACCAAACCAAAAGGAAAAAAAACTAGGATGAGGAACTATCTCCAGGGGGAAACAATCATAATAAATAAATAATTAACTTTCAATCTTCTTCTCTTTCTTATACATGACTTGAATGGCTTTTCAGACCAATGATCAAGCACACTGAACAGAAAGCCATTATGACAAAGACAATTTGGTTTGAATATTCCTCTTTGGTCTGAACAGTATAAATAGCAGACAAGAAAGATTAATAAACACAAAGGTCACGAGAGCATGATAACAGATTTTCCTAAATGCTAGCGTCTACAATTATCACCAGTCAAGTTCCAAATCAAAGAGCCGTTTAATAGCTCAGCGAAAAGGACTATTTTTACCTGACAACTTCAGGTTCCTTCATCTCAGGAACTGGCGCAGCTAAACCAGGAAGATTCACTAGAGTCAAGACCGAACCTAATCCAGCGAGCTGCATAAACATCCTTCTGGGATGATGATGTACGGCAGAAATAGAAAATGATCTACCACGTGTAACGCAGTTCCTAGAGTTTCCCACGCTGCTGCTAATGAAATTCAATCTCCAGCGACATAACTCTCAAATCGAAAGGTAAAACGATAGGTGAAGGTTGAGAAACCAACCTTAATTTCATGGATGACCCGACGAAAAGTTGAGCAATCTCCATAGCCATGGAATCGTCTTCTTCCTTTCAAATTGTGGATAAGAAGAGGCGCCAGATAGTGACGGATTATCTACGGAGCAGTACACCGTAACACTTGTGGGACATGGAAGATTAAGACAACGAGTGTTAAAAGATCATCTAAAAGACTGATAAAAACATTGCTTCTCCTTCACTAAGCAGCTTCGCTTCCTTACAATTAAGAAGACAGAAACCTTAGCTCTTAACTAGCTTCCGTATTGTTAAGACACCGAGACGTTTACCTTCCACACTGAGATCAATCAGTGAAAATCACAAGATTCAGTAGTATACATACAGATGCGAGGAGGTAAACATAAACCAAACCAGAAATAGATTAAAATACAACTTTGTTTTCGTTTTTCTTTTACACAGAATAAACTACAAAATCTTGGGAGTTCAAAAAGATTAAAAAACAAATAAACATGATATATCACTCAGAAAACAAACACAATTTGTCAAACTGTTTGATCAGCTATGCTGTCTCAGGTATCTTCCACCTGAGAATGAAACACAAAGCTCGGAAACGTAGTCGTGATATCCCTGCAGGTATTATGAGAGAGAGATCGGTTATAATCATACGTGAGTTAGAGAGAACTGGGTTAGCCATTTTAGGAACTCACTTGAGATACTGAAGTGTCATGTTCTTGAGAAGCGAAGGATGCCTAAGAACAAGGATCCTCCACTCTTCCTTATCTATCCTCCCGTCATGTTTTGTGTCAGCTTCCTCAAATGTCTGCCACAAACTCAGATATATCACTTTTTACGTCATTTCTCAACTGCTTACATGAGTTGGAAACTAGTACAACGGAACCAGAAATAGTAAGGAAGGAAAAAACACCTTGTCGATTATACTCTCTATGACTTCATCAGACAAATTCATGCCTGACTCAGCAAGTGTAGCCACCACCATTTGCTTCACCTGAACAATGATAAGAAAGTTAGTGGTGGGAATGTTTAAGGGCACAACATATCTTTAAGGTTTTGAATGAGGTGATTGAATATATATGTACAGTTTTACCTCCTGCCTCTCGATGAAACCTTGCTGCTTAAGATCATATAGCTGAAACGAAACTGCAAAATGATATTCCAGGAAACGATTAATGAACTTTTCACGCAAATGAACATCAGATCACCACATTTTGTTAAAAGACCAGAGCCGTACAATCAATCTTGTCGTCTATAGGAGCATTTGGATGAAAGACGGAGAGAGCACGAGCAAACTCCTCAAACCCCAGTATTCCATTATGCTTTGTATCGAACAAATCAAACACCTGTCATTGCATATATCAGCATATCTTTTGTATATAATCTTAGCAAATGGATTACAAACACTTACCCGGTCTGCAAACAAGCTTTCTTTTTTATTTGTCTTGAACAAAGCTAGTTGAAACTCTTCCTGATACAATGACAACAGGGCACGAAACGGATATCAGAAAGACTCTCCAAAAAGAAGTAGCTATACGCTTGAGATGTATAATTCATACATACCTTGTTTATTAGTCCATCATCAATCACAGCACTACTGATTTTCTTAAACAGCTCATAGAGAGCCTCTATTTCACTCACGCTAACTGCACCCCAAACAACTAATTATCAAAACACAGAAGAAAGACTTTGCACCAACTAAAGGAATAAGCGTGAAGCTGAAGAGCATACAAACTGTTTCTCTAGCAAGTAGTTCAGGATCTCCAAGGCCTCCAGACTGTTTATATATCTCGATATCAAAACACCGAAACAAAGAGTTGCATACATGCTTGAAACCGTCTACGCACTGCGTCATGATATCTCTAGTAAATCAAAACTCTCCATGACTGTTAACATAACAAAACAAAAACGTAAGAACTTTCGAATATAACTTTGAAATAAACCAAAAAAAAATAGTATACATATATATATATATATATATGCATATGAACAACAATATATACCTTTTAACCATTTCCAGGCTCGTTAATAAAGGCAAAAAACGCTTTATAAACCTCCAAAAATATCTGCCAACAAAACAAGATTCATCATTTTCAGTTCTTTAGTAAAAATCATTAGCTATAAGATAGTTTAATTATGTAAAACAAAAGCAGAAAAGAGGCATATCCAATACAATCTTAACTTTTTGCATTAATATAAAGTACAAAGACATCATTTCCAAAACTAACCAATGTACTATTCTCTTGTTAACAGTCTTGGAACAAAGCATGGTTTAGGCAATAATCCACACCCCAAATCTAAGAAACAAAACAGCTTAAAAAAAAACTATAATCCTGAGAATCAAAACCTGAATCTAAAAGTGTTTAAGCTAAGTAGAAGCGACTTAAATGAGAAAAAGAAAACGCGATCGAGTTAGCTAGATTCCAAGATTTTCGGATTCAGATAACAATTTAGAGATAGTGGATGAATCTCTTGTTTATATAATTCGAAAATCAGCATAAGGATCTATCCGATAATCTAGAGAATACGAATTTGATTATTAGTTGCTTGCTTCTCAAATCTCAATTTTTTTAAATTCTCATCGCGATTATCCCGGGCGACACGTGAGATAACGAGTACCGACCGTGAAATCGTAGAGAATGGAGAAGTGAGGAGAAAAAAGCCTTACGCCACGGCAGATGAAGAGCCTTCCTTAGGGCGGCTCCGGGCGGTTGAAGCTGACGATTGTTGCGGTGGAAACGCTAAAACAAACGAATAGCTCAACTGGTAAGTGAGAGAAAGGTACACCGAAACAAAGTTTAAGCAAAAAAAAAAAGGCCGACACGATTTTTCTATATTCAGAAAATAAATAAATATACTGTTTTTTTGTCAACTAAATAAATATACAGGAATTAAAAAAAATATTTATTTTTATCAAACGAAATAAACAGATTATTATTTATACTAGATCTGTTTCCCGGGCTACGCCCAGATTGTTTGGGTGATTTTTTTAATAAAAAAGAATATCTAAGATGCGTAAGATTTAAATTTAAAATAATATAGTCCCAGACTAAATCCTAAATTCTCAATGCAGCATAATGAGTTAAGAATTGCGACCTTTTTAAAATTACAATCCAATGATGAAGTGTTTTGAAAGTAAAAAGAAAATCATGTATCTAGAAAACTGAGGGATGGTTTGAGTATTTTTTTAGGCACGTCGATGACTTCTGATCCGTCCTCTGTAATTCTTGATGAGTCCGATCGATTTCTGAAAGTAAAAAGTTGCTGTTGGTGATAAAGCGAGTTCTAGTTTTCATGCGAAGAAATTTTAATTAGTTTTTGCTGCATGATTAAAAACCCTAAAATAATTATACTTCATATGTTTAATATTAAAACTTATTTACCTTGATAAATTTTTGGTATTATGTTAGCGATGATGACAACTTTAAATTTTCTATCCTTCTTGCTTTGCAGGATGCTAAACTCTGTTGCGGGTTTGTTCCATAGCGTGAGCCTAACCATTTCTGAGCCGTTCAGCATTAGACCAATTGTTACTTTTTTTTATTCAATTATGGGTTGTGTGGTCTTGTTTCTTACATCATTCGTATTTGCCCGACCATATCTGCACATAACATATTTTATTGTTAAGGAAAAAAGATTAAAAGCTTTTAATTGAAGGCTTGATGAGTGACATACCCGGTAAGTAGATAGGGTTTGTGGCTAATCGCAGTAGAGATCTGTATTTTTGATGAGAAACTGTATGGTGGAAAGATCGTACCTGTGAAAGTAACATTTGACATTCTCGTCTCTTGGCTGATCTGAATGTAGTACGGAAGTTGTGTTAATTTCCGTTCACGGGAATTATGTACGATCGAGAATCCTGAGAATTCATATATATCTCCTTCGGTTAAAAATCTTGGCTCAGTTGTTTGGTTGTTGTTGTAAAGCCGACCTTCCAATAATTGTCCCTGAATGATAATAAATTGATCTTATCAGATCAAAATATGCCAGACCATTTAGAAATATATATATGTATGTCAAAAATGGTAACTTGGGGCTTATGTTGTGTTCATAACATCTGAAGCCGTAGCATGGTTGGGTATTTCTTGGTTTGTGAATATTTATATCCCAAATATTCTTTACACATACTTTTATAGGACGCACTGAAAACTCTTCTTCAAATTGGTTGATTTTTTTATGGATATTATCCATGGGAAACTGGCCTACAATTTTTTTTAAAAAAAAATTTGAAATTAGGAATTCAATATTTGAAAATTATTGTAGGTTAAAAAGATTAAATACGGAGAAATGGACTTTATGAATTTTTGTATCTTAAGTATGAATTAATTATAAGGGTATATTATGGGTATATGAATTTTTCATCTTAAGTAATTTTTTTAAATGTTGTTACTATTTAATTTCTTTTTAAATATGTATGTGTTAGTATTTTGGGTGTAATAATAGCAGAATGTTAAACAATTAGTTATATATTTTTGTTGGTTATTGGTTGGGTTCTCTGGGTATTTATGTTGTATGAAATAACTTGGATTATTACTTTTGTAATTTTTTAAATATTTTTAAAAGTGGTATATAACTTCTGTTAAAATCATACAATCTAGAAAGGTAGGAAAAAAAGAGTTTGAAACTAAATGCAAATAATAAGCCCAAACCAAAATGACATCAAATAAGAACCGACAGATATCGCAGGCCAAACTAAATGCAAATAATAAACCCAACCAAAATCAAACCGTGTGGATTTTGGTCCAAAAACGAAACCAATTTTCGTAGACCCAAACCAATCTGATGTGGCTGTTTAAAGCCCTACTATTGGCCAATTATAATTGGTAATGTGGACAGGGTGAGAGGGCTTCATTTGACCATTTTAATAGTGTAAATATTTGAAAATTATTGTCGGTTAAAAAAAGATTAAATACGGAGAAATGGACTTTATGAATTTTTTATCTTAAGTATGAATTAATTATCAGGGTATATTATGGGTATATGAATTTTTCATCTTAAGTAGTTTTTTAAATGTTGTTACTATTTAATTTCTTTTTAAATATGTCTGTGTTAGTATTTATGGGTGTAATAATAGCAGAATGTTAAACATTTAGTTATATATATTTGTTGGTTGGTTGGGTTCTCTGGGCATTTATGTTGTATGAAATAATTTGGAATCTTACTTTTTAAAATTTTTTAATATTTTTGAAAGTGGTATATAACTTCTGTTAAAACCATACAATCTAAAAAAGTAAGAAAAAAAAGAATTTGAAACTAAATGCAAATAATAAGCTCAAACCAAAATGACGTCAAATAAAAACCGACAGATATCGCAGGCCCAAACTAAATGCAAATAATAAACCTAACCAAAATCAAACCGTGTGGATTTTGGTACAAAAACGAAATCAATTTTCGCAGACTCAAACCAATCTAATGTGACTGTTTAAAGTCCTACTATTGGCCAATTATAATTGGTGATGTGGACAGGATGAGATCACTTCATTTGCCCCTTTTAATAGTGTAAATATTTGAAAATTATTGTAGGTTAAAAAAAGATTAAATAGGGAGAAATGAACTTTATGAATTTTTTATCTTAAATATGAATTAATTATCAGGGTATATTATGGATATATGAAGTTTTCATCTTAAGTAATTTTTAAATGTTGTTACTATTTAATTTCTTTTTAAATATGTATGTGTTAGTATTTATGGGTGTAATAATAGCAGAATGTTAAACATTTAGTTATATATATTTGTTGGTTGGTTGGGTTCTCTGGGCATTTATGTTGTTTGAAATAATTTGGAATCTTACTTTTTAAAATTTCTTAATATTTTTGAAAGTGGTATATAACTTCTGTTAAAACCATACAATCTAAAAAAGTAAGAAAAAAAAAATTTGAAACTAAATGCAAATAATAAGCTCAAACCAAAATGACATCAAATAAAAACCTACAGATACCGCAGACCCAAACTAAATGCAAATAATAAATCTAACCGAAATCAAACCGTGTGGATTTTGGTCCAAAAACGAAATCAATTTTCGCAGACTCAAACCAATCTAATGTGACTGTTTAAAGTCCTACTATCTAAATATTAAAGAGGAAGTACAAATAGTATATACCCCTTAGTTTTCCACAAAAATTACAACTTTATGCCATTGAAATTAAAACACAGTAGTTTTGATTAATGTCTAATTATTATTTCGTTGGACTGGCGTAAGTTTTTTTTTTCCAGCCCATGAAGAAGAATTTCGTTGGCCTGTTAAATAATATAACTATAGACAAATGCATAGTTTATATGTATTACATGTATAGTTATAGATCAGTACTAAAATAAATAAAAATCAAGTTTAAAAACATGATAAAGTTTTATAACCTATTTTCTTTATTTTTAGATTTCATATAAAAATGTAAAATAGATAATTTAAATCATTTTTGTAACAATTTGGAGTTACGGCATACAATTCAATATACAATAACATTAAAATTAATAAGTGTTTAAATATAATGTAAATTTAAATTAAAAAAAAAAATCAGATTGGATACCTATCTGTTTAAACGGTAACTTCGACTTTAACACTCATACAATAAGAGAAATATATAACATTTCAAAAATATATATATAACACAATACAAAAACATGAAAGTAATTTATGCTATGAATTATAAACTAAAATATAACAAAAGAACCCATTATATGCAATTCTTATATAAAATCATTAAGTTTTTGTGTGTTTTAAATGTTTATATAATTATAAAATAAAATAAAAATTCAAAATACAATAACATTAAAAATATTAAGTGTTTAAATATAATATAAAATTGAATTTAAATTTTCAATTAAAAAAATCAGATTGAATTACATATTGGATACCCATCTTGGATACCCATCTTGGATACCCATCTGTTCAAACGGTAGCTTCGACTTTTAAAACACATACAATAAGAGAAATATATAACAACTCACAAATATATATATAACAGAATACAGAAACATGAAAGTAATTTATGCTAAGAATTATAAACTAAAATCTAACAAATGAATCCATTATATGAAACTATTATATAAAATCATTAAGTTTTTGTGTGTTTAAATGTTTATGTAAGTAGAAAAAGACACATGCGCGGACGCGCGGGTCCAAATCTAGTTGGCCAATTATAATTGGTGATATGGACAGGATGAGAGTGCTTCATTTGCCCATTTTAATAGTGTTAGATTCACTTTCGTAAGTTGCCGTCAAGTGGAGCCAGCCGAGACCATTATGCGCCGTTGTTTCGGTCTCAACTTTTTTTTTTTTTTTAACAAGGTCTCAACTTATTTGTATTGATTTCGCCTGGTTTGGTCTTTGAGTTTAAATTCGGTTTGACTAAATCAAGTTTTTGGTTTGAGTGATCAAATCAATTTAAGATCCAAAAACTGTAGGAATTCTGAAAAATAGCAAAAAATGAAAACAGTTAGTGATCAAACATATACAAAGAACAACAAACACAATGACGGAAAAGCTATCACCAGATGTTCAAATTCACATTTTAACTATGTTTTATGTTCATTATAATATAGGTTTTTTAAATCAGGTCTAGTTTTAATTAGTAGGACCGTTGTTGGCAAAAGACAAAAAGGTGCTTAAGGTACTTCCCTATGTCTTAGAAACTCTATGTTATAACTTTTACTAGTGAAATGATCTCTTGGAACTTCTTGTTGTGTTTCTTATCTCTCTTAACCTCAAACTCAAGTTCAGTTAATCTTTTACATTCATGTTCTCTCTTTGAGTTAAAAGCTATGATCTCTGTTCTTAACTTGAAAGATGCATAGTTAAAAATCCGAAGTCACTACTTCTTAAGAAATATCATTATTTTAAAATTGTTTCATTGAGTTCCATACTTTCTAAACTCACAATAATAATTCTGCCACCAAGCCATCACTCACCAACAGGAATCGCTTTAGAACACCGGGCAGCCCTTAACCACAATCCCTTTCTCTGTAGGACAATGCGCCAAAGGACAATGATCCGTGTTCTCACTCCCCCACCAATCAGGAAAACTTATATTATTGTTCTGAAACGCAAAGTAGATCAGCACTCCCATGATCGCTGTACCAGCATCAAGACCAGCAGAGAGGATGTAGTTATGCCTCGCCCACCACCCTTTGTACCTCCTGAAGATATAGTAGTTAAAAATCACACCAACAATGACCCACGACCAGTAATTCACAGCCTTAGCCTTTGGCATTGCACTAGCAGCTGAGAAGATCAAAGGGACATGAATCTGCTTTATCCACTTCTTCTCTGGAAACCTCCTTGCAAAGAACCAGACCGGGACAGGACCAAGGAAGCCAATGAGGAAGAACCAGTTCATCTCGGAGTAAACACCTTTACTAGTGAACATCCTTGCAGGACCAATGATTCCCCATATGATCGACGCGTTGAAGAACAGTGTGTCCCCAGGGCAAGTCCAGGGGCTACCTTTGGGAAGCTTATCTTGAACACAGATGTTATCTACCGAAGAAAGAAGCCACCATGTGGTCCCAAAACAGACAGATGTAGAAACCATGGTCGCAATAAGCTGAACAAGAAACATAGATCTCGGAGGAATCTTCATGTAATGACCAAGTTTGAAGTCTCCAACGAAAGACAAGGCTTGAGACATACTCACATAACCGTAAGTCTTGAAAGCCACATTGGCTAGTGGCTTCCCCGGGTACAAGTAACCAATGATTAGTTCCGCTATAACGTTAAGACCCATTTGATGGTTTGTAGTGGCTTGGATAACTCCTATAGGTAACGTGAAGGTGAAGGCAACGGCACAAGCGAGTAGAAGTCCCCACCATGGAAGCTGAAGCTGTTTGCTAAATCCTTCACATGCGTAAAGAGCTAACGCAAAGGAAAGAAAGAGAACCGTAACAAACCACCAGTGAGGTACTTCTTTGTAGTTCTTCTTCATCAATCTTGTATGCACATCTCCATACTTGTCCTTTGTTGCTAATGACGACTTTTTCCACATCCCCCAGATAAACCTTCAAGGAAACAACAAAAGAACTGTCATGGAAACTGAGGAAGGTTGATACTCCCTTCGGTTTTTACTACTGACGTTTTAGACAATTTTTTTAGTTCCTAAATAGATGATGTTTTCAATTTTCAGTGTAAAATTTATTAACAATTTATGTTATATAACCAATAGTATTGTATGCAGTAGGCCTGAGTGTTTTTACCCGAAACCGAAATACCTATCTAAACCCGAACCGGAAAAACCGAAACCGAATTCGAACCCTTATACATAAATATTCGAACGGGACTTACGAGCTTAGTACTTTGGAGTTTGGTTATAATCCGAACCGAACCGAAATCCAAACGAGGATCCGAAGATATCCAAAATTAACTAAATATTTTTATATATGTTAAGGGGATTTAGATATTTTAGAATATTCCAAATATTTTGTAGTTTATTTTATATGTTATTTTGATATTTTTTTACTTAATTTAAATAGTTTAACTAATTTTTAGTTAGATTTGTAAATAACTTACATATTTTACAAAATAAATTTGTCAATTTTTAAATTTTAAAAGATAAAATTTTGGACGATTTTAAACATTGGTTACAACTGATTCAAACCAAACCAAACCTGGTAGGAGTCGAACATCCTAATCATCCGGACCGATACCGAATGGGACACCGAACGCTAAGACCTAGTATGCAGTTTACTTTATTATTGATCGAATTATAGTTAGATGAATAATTAGTGATGTTTTGTTTAGAAACTTTTTTAAAATAAATATATTCTTAATCAATGTGATTAATCCTAAAACTGTCATTTATTAAAAATGAAGGAGTCATATGTTAGAGATGCAGAGTACTTACTTTCCATCAAAGAGGGCAACATGAGAAACAGTTGCGGTAAGACTACCGAAGCTGAGTCCATAGAGGAGAGCAAACACAACGCTAAGGTAAAGCTTACTATAGCTTTCGTAAGCGGCAAGATTGATATCAAACATTTTCTGGTTGAGGATACGAGTGGTGTTAAACTTCTGACCAGTGTGATCAAATGTAGTAGATGTAAATAAAGGGAACTTTTTTGCATCATAAGCGTTGCTCCAGTAGAAGATAGGAAGGACAATGTACAAGAAGATGAAGAAACCAGCAAAGAAGTTGGCTATAGCGAAGAATGGTACGGCTAAAGGACTGCCTAAGAAGCCTGCAACTACTGACCAGTCGAGACCAACCGAGCCAATGCCTAGACCATTAAGTCCTGAACCGATCTGTTGAGCTGTCACAGAGCGAGTCCATATCCAGCAGACGAATGAGAGGGATGAGATGGAAGGGAAAATGTAGCCAGGGATGATGTAGTAAAGGAAGCTTAAGAAGAAGACTATTAGGAAGAATCTAAGCCTTGTTTGTTTGCCTTCACAGTTTTCCTCCTTCTCGTGTAAGGCTCTAATCAAATACAGTTTCAGACAAAACTAAACAAATGTTAGATTGCAAGAACAAAGTACGTAGTGTAAGTAATAGAACTGGAGAAGATTAAGGAAACGAACCTAAAGAGAGAGACTTGAACAAGATTTGAAGGCCACCACATGTACGGTGAGTCCACAAGGAACTTTCTGAACATACCCGCCCATCCGTACCCCAGCAGCTTATACAACCAACAAAAACAGACGTAGAATATGTCAACAAAGATTTTTAGAAAAAGTCTGCAATAACTTTTGTTTACATTGATAGATTTTTTTTTTGTTTTCTGTAAATTTTAAAATATTGTTTAATAATCATAAATTGTAAATTTCAAGAAAATATTTTATTGAATTGACAATCAAATAAAATGAACATCAATGAGTTTTTAACATATATGTATTTTTTATATGTGTTATATTTATACCTGATTTTTTTTGTTATTTTTAAGTACTATATGGTAGATATTATTAAAATAAAATTATATAAATCATTCTAATTCTTTTCTTTAATAACTTTGTGAATTTTTTCATAGAGAAAATTTTTAAAAAAATTATCATATATATTTTTGTGAATAATAAAATTAAAATACAAGAAGTTTGATTTCTTTTATTAAAAAATTGTAATGTGTCATTATAAATTAATAAAAATGTAAAAAAAATTATGAGAACTTTGTTCCGTAACATTTATTTCAAGTGTGAGTATTTTTTACCTGAGTGGTTAGCAAAAGCAACATGGCGGCAGCGGGGTTGAGATCCCTGTGGTAAAATGCTTTAACGATGGTTATGATGCTCGTCGCATAAGCTCCTGCGGCTCCGGTATTAGCGAATATAGTGATCAACACATGTTCTTTCATGTTGAACGGTCCAGGATTCAACGAACCGGACCAACTCGTACCGGGTAACCGAAACTTCCTCGTTGGTAGAGTCGTGGCCATGAGCTTTCCTAGTGGGAGAGTGACGATCTGAGCCACGACTGAGGATACCATGAGCGGGTTCGACCGGTAACCAAAGAAGAGGTTCACGAACGCAAGTACAAGGCATGAGGATATTCCTAAGAACCACGTGCGGAATGTCAACACTGGTTGAGATGGATCGTCGGTTATCGGTACGGTTAACCGGACTTCTTCTATTGGACTGTCGTTTTCCTCCTCGCCTTCTTCATCTGCACGTAAACCGGCCAAAAAAACGGTTAATAGGAACCAACCCAAAGTGTTTTAAGAAATTAAATATAGGATTTGAGTGCATATTATGCCATAACCGTAGTGGTAAGAATCAAACCAAACCGAACCAAAATTAGCTGAAACAGAACCGGATTTTATTTACCAGCTATGACGATGTTGGACTCAAACTTCTGCTCCGGGGAATTAGGTTCTGTGACTTTGAGAGAGCTTAGCATTTTCTATCTTCTTCCACAAAACTTTATATGATTCTGACGCCGGCTCCGGTGAGGTGACCGGAGTTCTGGACAACTCGCTGGAAGATAAAGGAGTGTGTAATTTAATTTCACTACTAGATGATTAATATATACACTTTAAACATGGATGATTGTCTTGATTCATTGAACTAAGGCTGTTTCTGCAAACGAATAATAAAGTTTAAAATTTGGTGAAGAAATTGAAATATCTAGTTCGAGTAAAAAGACAGCTAGATTCTGCATTTAGTATCTTAATCATACAGATACGTTAGCCAAACGAATTAAGAGAGTACTATATATAGCATTCAATAATTAACTTTTACCCCAGCTAGAGTCTATAGTTGTGGTGGTTGATCTTGTTTTCACTCTGCAGCTTTGTTTTAAAAGAAATAAAAATAATCACACTTCTATATTGAAAATAAAGTTCCCTATAACTATAAAAGAAAAGAAATATATTTTCACAAAATGTATTTTTTAGTAACAATGCTACCATATGAGTGGTGTTAAACTTCTGACCGGTGTGATCAAATGGAGTAGAGGTAAATAAAGCAAATTTCTTTGCATCATAAGCGTAACTCCAGTAGAAGACAGGAAGGACAATGTACAAGAAGATGGAGAAACCAGCATTTAAGTTGGTTTCTTTATCTTTTTAGAATCATCTTTAAATCTTCATAGAATCACATAAACATTCGCTTTATCACGAAAATGATTATGATCAAAAAAAGTATAAAAAAGTAAATAAATCAGGGTAAAGTTTCACCAACATTGCTGATCAACTGATCCAGAAGGTTAATCGGCGGTTAGTTGACTGGTCCATCATTGATTTGTAGGAGAGAGTATTTTGAAAATATCTGGATCCTGAGAAGTGTGCGAATCAATCTTTTGGAATTCAAAATTAGTTGATGTCTTACTATTTAGCTTTAAAATCTGTTTATGTCTGTCCATCTTAATTTTAACAGCCTTTTATATACCATTTTTATTAAAGAAATTATAATAAATTCTAATTACTCTTTTAACTAGAAAATCAGAAATTCTGATTATTTAGTGATAAAAAAGATTAACTTTTTTTTTATCAAAAAAAAAAAGATTAGTTATTAATTTGTTCCAAACAAGAAAAAAAGCTTAGGTTTTAATCTGAACTCAAAATTGCCCGGGGCAGATATCTTTACACAGAATCAAAGTGATATGTATATTATCAAACAGTTCTAACTTCTAACATTTTCCCTCCCCTTGAAAGAAAGGGAACTGAGAGAAAGGGGAAATGTAGTTTGAAAGCTGAAACAAAACCACAATGTCTTACAAGGACACAATACACAATCATCTTAGGCCTACATGTTTCTTCAATACAACTGTTTGTAGCAAGTATAAGCCACAACCACTGAAGCAGCAGCGAAAAAAACAGCGAGAGCATCATACGTATCTTCTCGCTCCCAGCTCTCCAACCATGTTGACATTGCACAAACCTTACATGTTGAAGAAAATCCCTTGTTACTATTTATTCTGAAGAATGTCTTTTCTGCAGTTTATTTTCCCGGTGTAAGATTCTCAGTGCTGTTTTCACTCTCAAGTTGATTATCTTCAGAGGTCTCCAGAGACAACAGCATTGGTGTTGCTTCTTGACAACACGAGGAGCTGTTCCCATTTTGTTGGCAACAACCATTAGGTTCTGCAACACTTCACCGTCGTTCTTGAGTTTTCTTCTGATGTTCTTCTGATAGACCCATCTCACCTCTAAAAATTAGAAACAAAAATACTGTTTTTACTAAATTACCAAGTGATCTGGAAGCTGTGAGACCAAGAAGTTTTTGAACTTACCTCCATAACCTATCTACAATCTCGCCTTTGTTGATGTGCTGCTCCAGAAGAACAGGTACATCCTCTGGTTGCACATACCCGTACCTTGTGACACAATTGATATAATCATCAAGACTAAAAATATAGTAATGAGTAATTTATATTCCCTTACTCACCAGTGTCCTGTGACTTTCCTGTGGACTTTTGATTGGTAGATGATAACATTCCCAGCGTATTTGTGACCACCTATGTGAGAACATGGACTAACCTGAGACTTTACATTGAAGACCATGAAACTCATGTTCTTCTCTGAATCTACTAACCAACGCCGGGCAATGGGAACATACAAAGACATATGCCCCTTTTAGCAATTCAGGATTTCACAAGCACCTCTTCCACAAATGTGTCCACATCAAAATGAGTCAACCTTCTGCATTTTTTGTTGAAACAAAACTCTCATAAGCAAGTGTGAAGAATAAGAGAAACTAAAACAAACACCTGGACCCTTACCTGTATCTGATCATATCAGGAAAGATAAGTACATCACTACTGGATGTCTCTGTTCCATCATGTCCTTCACATATGGTGAGTCGAGTCTATAGAAAAACATTTAAGGTACAGATATAAAACTAAGAAGCCACACGCTAAGGCCTCATCATAAGACTAAACCATCCATTAACATACATTTCCACTTAAGTTCACCACTGAGGTAAGCATATGAAAAAGAGTAAAACCACTGCACATAAACCTCAAGCAGAACTGTGTGTTCTATGACCCATACAGAAGCATAAAGACACGTTTCTTTTTATGTTGTTACCCATAGATTCTTGCCAAAAATAGGCACTTCAACTAGTTTTCATGATTCAGTGTTCCGAATTAGATTCTTGTCGACGACATGAATTTTAATCAAAAGGAGCTCGGATGACACGTAGTTCTTTTGCACTCAGTAGTAGGAACGGCAAGTAGTTGGTGCTTTTCACATTTGCTTCTCTATACAAATGTAAAACAGTAAAAGAATGGGAGAGGCACAGACAATGGCGGACCTTATGATGTTCTTGTCTTGTTGACCAAATTGTTGTGTTTTTTTTTACTTATTAGTAATCGAACTTTTTTAAGTCTGAACAAGGGTTATAGACCACCATGTTTAGACATCTTATTATTCATTTTATTACTATTGGCCTCCTCTGTACCAGAAAAAGGAAACTAGAGAAAGCTGGAAAATGTCTGAAAAGAGAATCAAACAACAATAAGGAGGCTTTTATGTTGAATGGTATAAGACATACAAGCAAACCTATCTTCTGGCTATGCAGCTTCCTCCTCTCGTCTCTACCAAAAGCAAAGCTGCTTTGCGCAGTTCAGACTCAAAAAAAAACAAAACCACTAAAGTTTACATCCACAGTATTAACTTACACATTTGCCAGATGACTACTAGGCATCATGCAACAGTGTGCTTTAGATTATATGTGCGTACGCTACACAGAGAGACAGTCTCAGTATCTGCGATGAGCCTAGGCTTTCACCTCCTCACCACCAGCAGACCCTCCTGCTTTCTCCTTCTCTACAACCCCTTCTTTCTTCTTCTCCTCCTCTTCCTCTGCTTCATCTGCCGCTTCTGCTAATTTGGTGAGCTCGCTTTGGATCATCCGCTTTATAGATGACTTTCTTGGAGTGAGATCTTCTTTGAACTCCTTAGCTGAAATATGGATGAAACAATGTGTATTTACTTACATAACCAGAATCTGACCGAAAATCACACAAGAAATAAATTAATGAAACCTATCTGTTCATACCAAGTTCTTTGATGATGTCCGTGACTGTAGCCTGCAGAAGAACAACAATGCTCTGATAAGATTATCTAGATACAAAAGATAATTCACAGTTCCTATATATGTATTAGACAAAAAAAAACTCTAATCAGCTTTCAGAAAGAGTAAGATCTTTCAAACAATCATAAGTTTGTTCCGCACCATCTTCATTTTGTTTTTTCCACACATCCCAAGTAGTAAAGTTTGTCGAATAATACTAAAGATTAAGAGAGTCAAACTCACCGTATTAAAGTCTACCCTTTTCAAGATCTCAACGATTGCATTTTTCAATACTTCATCGCTTGGCCCTTTGGTTTTGTCTTTCCCTTTTCCAGCACTTTTCACTTCTGGCATTAGGTACAAACAAAGATACACATTGTGTCAGAAAACATTAGTTGCTGCACTATTGATTAGTTCTGCAAACAGAGTCGTCAAGGAAAAAAAAAACAGGATAATATCCAAACCTGGTTTCTCCTTTGATACAGACTTTGGAGGGGCTGCTGGGGCCTTGGTAACTTTTTCAGACTTCTTCCTCTTAGAGGACGTCTTTGGACTGGAATCACTGTCCTCATCATCATCATCTGTCTTCTTTCGTTTTGCTGATGATCGCTTCTGTGTCACTTTCTTAGGTGGACTGGATTTTGCTGCGACTTGCGTTTTCTTGTTTCTGGCAGCTCTCCCTGCTGATTCTTTCTTCCCAGCTGACAATTTAGAACCACGCTTCTTCTTTGTAGTTTCTTCCTCAGAATGCTCCTCAGATTCCTCCTCGCTTTCAGAAGGCTGAGGTACCTCATCCTCACCATTTGCATTCTCTTCCTCTTCTGCAGTCTCCTCTTCCTCTTCTTCTGCTTCCTTATCCTCTTCAGCCTCATCGTCAGAGTAAGATAAATTCTTCTTGACAGCCTTTTTTCCTTCTTCAGACTTTCTTTGGCTCTGCAAAAACAGTATACATAATATAGTCAGATCTACTTGGACCAGTGATGGACAGCTGCAGATGAGTAGTCTTGAGACTCTATGCTAAGCATTGATGATACCTTTGCTGATCGTTTAGAGGATGAACTCCCAGCTGCAGGCGAGCTTTGCTTGGGAGTTCTCTTGCGTTTTGCTCCTTTACTTGACTGTTCCAACAGAATACTCTTAAGTGAATGGAAGATGAACAATTAAGGTCTAGATTAACAAACCAAAATACCTTATCTTTCTCATTAGCTTGAACGTCACTTTTCACATGAGGTTTCTCCAAAAACTCAATCAGTTTAGTAATAACATCTTCCTGTGTTGAGAAAACATGCAACAATAAGTTAAGACGTATTTTGATTAAACGGGGAGGGGGGTTGAATTATCATAACTTGGTTACAACGAGAGACAGACTCGATGCATATCTTCTATTCAAGCAGGAAAAAAATGAATCTCAGGAACAAGAACTTAGAAATTACTGACCTTTCTTGTTGTAGCCTTGTTAATATGTATGTCAAACAGATCGCAAAACTCCCACAGTTTTTCTTTGTTACATTTCTCAAGCTTTTCTTTTATTTTCTCTTTTCCCTTATCCTGCAAGTACCAAAGACATCATTATATACAAATCAAAGGTATACGTAGCTAGTGTGTGACGTTGCTCACCTCATTTCCATGCCAAACAAAGCCTGAGAAGCCCAATATGTTTGTCTTGATCTGACCAGCCTGTTAAAACATTAAGAATCAGTTCAAACATAAACATGATTAGTCGAGTTAAGGCTAACATAAGAGCTGCAGCAGAAGATTATGGATGTAATTGACAATATAGAATTATGACTATTAGAGTCACAGAATAAGATACTCACCCTCCCTTTCCTCGCAAATAGAATTGTGTGCAGCAACTTTAAAGTTTCTTCCGACGTCTTTCTCGTTACCTTGTAAGCAACTACAGAGAAAAATTCAAGTTATCTTATTTTATTTAAACTATAAAATCTTGCTTCTGACCACCTGAAATTTCAAGTTCAACGAGAAACAATTCAGATAGCATGAACATACCGTTGGGAATATCTTTGAGAAATGCACCTTTCCCCTGTAATATCCAAAAAGATGATTATGAACGCATGTAGCAACGAAATTCTATAACAACTCAGGAATGTACTGGCAAACCTTTTCTATATGGAATTCTTTGGAAGAGTCTGTATCAATCACTGCGACAAGCCTCTCAACAGCTTTCCTCTCACGCACAGGGCGATCAGAGAAAAAAATCTTCGGTTCTGCATCTTTTTTATCTCCCTTCCCACGCTTTTTAGAACCCTTTCTCTCTTCTTTCTCATCTTCCTTATCATCACCGCTCTCAGTTTTTTCATCTTCCTTATCACTAGATCTCTCTTCTTTCTCATTTTCCTTTGCATGTTCACTCTCCACTTTTTCATTGTCATTCTCATCCTTACTTCCTTCTTCTTCATCTTCCACCTTTGCCGCTTCAACTTCCTCTGTTTTATCTTCTTCCTTATCTTTCTCTTCTTCAACCAAATCCTCCTCTTTCTTTTCATCCACAGTCTCAACATTTTCAACCTTTTCAGTCTCTTTGTCTCCATCTACCAGCTTCTCTTCCTCCTCTTTAATCTCTTCTGCATTCCCTTCTTTTGCTCCATTTGCCTTTTCACTCTCATCTTTTACGCTCTCCTCTGATTCTTTCTCATCTTTCTTGTGGTCAGCTTCAGTAATATTTGCCTCTTGAGTCTCTTCCTTTTCATCATCTTTGCCATTGTTTTCCTTCATTACAGTATCTTCCACCGTACCACCTCCAGAAACACCATCACCAGTTTGCTCTTTCTTTCCTTGTGCATCTTCATCCATGTTGGTAGCCTCTACTTGTCCCTCATCTTTAGTGACAGTAACGCCTTCTTCCATTTTTTCAGGCTCAGCATCTATCTCCATTTTCTCTGGTTCAGAAGACTTCTCCTCATCTTTTTTAAGTTCATGTGTCTCCTTACCTCCACCATTCACCTCCTCTTTTTTTCCAGCCACAGCCTCTGATGGCTTCTTAAGAGAAGTAGTCTCTGTTTCTGTTGCCTCAACGGTTGCCTTTGAATCTTCTTCACCCATTGTCAACACTTCTCGTTGTCTACCAAGGACTGCTTGAGAAAATCAGTAAAAAATTATCAAAATTCATGCTCCTTTTTAACAAATTCAAGAACTGAAGCTAACACCCAAAGAGAAATAAAAACAGTAATTCAATCTCTTAAAGAACATGTAGAACGCATTGACACTAAAATTAATCAACAGTACAAGAAACCTAAAGAAAAATTCAATTCAGATTTCAAGGGTGTTCCATAATCATCTCATATTCCTACTACAGATCTGAACAAGAAGAGCAAAACAGGAAATTTAAGTGTGAGATTTTCCAGATTACACAAGATTTTGAAATTCAAGAACAAATCATTATAAAATCAAATCTGAAATCTCAATATGTGACTCACATATGTCTCCTAAGCTTATACACTAAACACAATCCAGACAAAACACAAAGGCATCTCCTTTCTACTTGAATCTCTCGAAATTAGTTAAATTCGTGCATTTATCAGGTAAATTAACATCACAAGATACGAAAAAGACAACAGAAAAACATCGCAAAACATCTAATCCAAGACACTCATGAGAAACCCTAACTAACAAGTACACAACAACACCCTAACCAAAAGAGCATGCGAGTTGAAACAAATATCACGAGACATAGAGTTAACAAAGATCATTACAGCATCCACAGGGTTATTCTAAAGCACAAGACTTTGAAATCTCACCTCACTGTCCCAAGACTCGACACTGAGTTTATTTATTTTTCTTTTGTTCCTTTCGAAACAGAACAAATAGCTTTTTTTTTTCTCATTGATGAAAGTCTTCGGATGCAAAACCAATTTTTAAATAGAGTTAAATGCCACGTCGGATGTTGGAAGAGAGCATTGCGGTCCGGTTTCAGTGTAGTCAACGGTCCAGATTTAATGTTTGATGCATCTCGGGGATCAACGATGGTATTACGTCGGATTTCGATCAACGTGTCAGAACGATTAGCTTCGATGAATTAAATATTATTTTAGTTATATCTTTTACTAACAGTTATAATTATGGAAATAAATTAAGACCAAAAGCTTCCTTACTGAAAAGGTTTTCTTTTAGATTTGTAATATTTCTCAAATATTATCTTCGAAACGGCCTCGGAGGAATTGCATGATGTCCTCACGAAACCTTCTGATCAACACTCCTACAGCCATGTTCGCCACAACATATCCTTTCTCCTGGCAAGGATACATTCGTGGTCTCTGGAACATGCTCTTCTCACCCGCAATGAAGCAGCAGCAGCTATCACTGAGAGTGTTACTCGTGATTCTCGGCACCAGTCGTACATTGCCCGACATGCACCTGTATGGCTTCATCATCTGCTCGCTTTGGAGTCTAAATAAGAAGGCGAATAGGTGAGCCTTTTATCTTCACTGATGTCTATTGACATTGTTTCTTCGATTTTGTTTGTATTTTGCATGTACTATTTTATTCCCCAAACAATCAGTGTTATAAAAAATATCTTTGAATTTAAAGAAACAATGGGAAATTCCATTGCATTTTTGGTAAATTTTCTATGATATACAGTAAGAATCTGATAAATAGTTTTACATATAATAGCTGGTAAAAATTACTATTTTCAATTAGAATTAGGTTAATCATTTACGATAGTTAAGTGTTTAACAAACTTATAACGAACATAGAATAACATCCAAACTAAATTTTATGGTTAGATAGTTAATGTGTCGAACTAGTTTATAACAAACATAGAATCAAATTTAAAATAGAATTTCATACTTTTTCTTTCTTAAATATAATTGAAGTTAAAATATAATAAATGAATGGATTAAAACGAATATTTTTCGTTATTAAATTTATTTTAAATCTTAGTTAAGTAAATTATGTACTAGAACTTAAAAAGCCATTAAACTTTTATTAGTGACTTAAAAAAAATGTTTTTGCTGATTTTGAAAACAACTAAAGAAAAAACTACTCCCTTATTTCCCAATATTTTTAGATTTGTTTGCTCCATAAATATGGATTTCTGTAATTTTAAGATAATTTATATACTTATATGAAAACATAAATGAAAATAGTTGAACTGATTAAATGTCATTGGCTGATAATTATTAGAAAATGTATAAGAAAAATAAATAATAAGTTATTATAAACATTCATTTTATAATATATGTGAACATTTCAAAAAAAACTTTCATTTGAGAACAGAGTTAGTTGTACTAAAATTATACGTTTTTGTTTTTTTTTATTAGCAACCATAATTTTCATTGGGTCAACAAATTACAACATTGGGTCAAGGCCCAAAACTAAAAACACAACATGTGTTTTTGTGAGGAAGATAAAGAAACACGATTTTATTGGCGCTTCATCCTCTGTTGCCACGTGTAAGAGACATACAATTTGAACAATGTTCTGGAACGGCCGTGTTGAAACATCTCCACCGGTGACCGTTGTGTAACATCCATATCTCGTTAATATTGACCCGATCTCAGGCCTCTTCACCTCTGTTGTCTTGCCTTCTTCGTTCATCAGATCCGCATAGCTGGTAAAGAAGTGTGATCCCTCTTCGCTTTTGAACTTCACAAAGATATTGTAACCACCCGACCTAGGATTGACGGTGAAGGTAACCGCGATATTTCTTATATACTAAAACACAAATCGTATGACCAATCAAAACATTACATTTGGCAAATTTGTAGAAAATAATAAAAATAAAAACAATTAAATTATTCTTTTCATTTTTTTCTGCAATTCAACCAACAATTACTATAAAACAATTGATAAATTAAAACACTTTTTTATTCTCTACGTAAAATAAAGAGAAAACAAAACTGTTTTCTTTGCCTCAACCACTACAGCACGATTTCAACTCCCTATATTACATCAACAACACTAGAATCACTCTA